TACCCCCAATACTTTAGTGTGTATACCAGAACAGGAGGATTTCCCACCTAGCTGTAGTACCATTATTACACCTCGTAAAATTAACAATAATTCCCTAATACAATCTGATACTCACTTAATACTCAAATTTTCCCAGTTGTCTCAAAAATGTCTTTTATGATTAACTTGTTCAAACTAATTAAGGACTAGGTATTAGATTTGTGTGTGTGTATGTATGTATACTTTTAATTTGTACTTCTAATATGAATAGTTTGGACAACTTTTTATACATTTTTTATAATTTTTTTCTGTTACCTCTTTGTTCACATTCTTATGTCCATTTTTTAATTGAATTATTGGTCTTTTTCCTCATTAATTTGTGGATATTCTTTACAGGCTAGGTAAGGTAGCCCTTTGTGATGTAAGTTTTTTTTAAAACACAATTGAACTTTCAATCTTTTATTTCATGGCTTTTGGATTTTGTGTCAGAGTTAGAAGGCCCTTCTCTACACTTACATTATAAAAAAACATCCTACCATAATTGACTCTGGTTTTTATTGGTTTCATTTTTTACATTTCAAGTTTTGACCCAAATGAAATTTATGCTGGGGTATGAGATATGAATTTAACTTAATTTTTCCTGGGTGGTCATCTAGTTTTGTCAATACCCTGTACCCAGTTATCTATCTTTCCCCTTCATATTTGAAGTATCAGACAGTAAATGCCTGTATGTACTTGGGACTATTTCTGTTCCATTGATGTATCTATTCATATGCTAGTACCACACAATTTCATTATTCTAACTTTATACTGTACTTTAATACTTGTTAGAAAAACACCTAGGAATGTTGGTCCCCCTTTATTACTTTTCTTTTCTGAAATTTTCATAGCTATTTTTGTTTATTTTTACAATGAGTTTTCTAATTTTGTCTAGTTCTCCCCAAATTTAAGTTATAAAGTCTAAATATATTTTAGATAATATTAAATACAGAAATCCAGAGTAAATTGATATCTATATGATATTGAGTTTTCCTATTCGAGAACTGAGTGTGCCTTTCCATTTGTTCAAATCTTTGGTGTGCCTTGGGAGCCTTTGAGTAGATTTATACTGATTTTGCACAATTGTGTTTACATTTAGGCTGAAACATTTTGTCTTTTTGTTATCATTGGGTGCCTTCTAAATTCTTATTTCAGAAAATGATCCTGCCACACCTTCCGTGGTTCCTTTTGCCTCTAAGATTAAATTTAAACTTCTTAGCTTTTCATTCAAGGCTTTTCACATCCAATCTAAAACCTATTTTCCACACATCGTCTTCTTACCTGTAGCTACTCAGTGGCCCCTGAACAAGCTCCATCCTTCTGTGCCTCTCTGCCCGGTTGCCGTCTCCCCCGCTCCCCTCCTTCCTCCGCTGCCTGTGCAAAGTGGTTTCCTTCACAAGGCTCCCCTTGACTGCTCCAGTTAGAAATGACCTCTCTCGTCTTTGACCTCTGACCATTTTACATGTGCCATTTATCTGGTAACTAATCTGATATTACCTTGCAACAGCTGTTGTATTGTTGAGATGAACTGCCCTTTATCTCATGTGGTTACAGAACTATTTGTGCGTCTGTGTCTTGTTTCCCCCAATAGATTGCGAGGCCCTCAGGGACAGTGAGCCTGCCTTGTGCTCCCTGCAGCCTCCAGGACGGGGGCCCTGCTTGTAGTAATGATAGTAGTGGCACTGGTACCAATGACAGTTAACATTTACTGCAGGCTTTCTGTGTGCCACGTCCTGTTTCAAGCCCTTCCCATGAATGAACTCATTAGTGGATAAGTATTTGAGTTTTGTTGGGTTTATTTGGCCTCAGACTAAACCTTTGAGGTAGGGGGTGGGGGCGCATAAGAGAAAGGTCACCCAGTCACCATACCCAGAGGGTAATTCTAGCCAGCTGGTCAGAAAGGAAGGTGAATTTTCTAAGGAAAGAGGAGAATGGCGACAGCCTAGGAAGGAAAGGGGAGAGAAGCAGACGGGAATGGAGGGGCCCTGAGCTTGATGGTTACAGAGACATGAGTATTTCCTGAGGTTCTGGTGGCTTTGAGTCGGGCTGTGCTGCTGGTCTTGCCCCCTTCCCTGCCTGGCAGGGTTAGGGCTCTGGAAATAAGGCCTGGCCCTGCCAGGGCTTTGCTGACTCCTCTTTTCCACAGTGGCTCCCTGCAGGATGGCCCAGGTCCCCGGGGACAGCAGGTCCAATGCATGGCCACCTTCCCAGTCTGTCTGCACCCCTGGGGTTCCCAGCCCAGCTGGCTCCCCTACCCTCTCCCTGATGAGGGGCAGCTGGGCTACTGAGCTGGTAGAAATTTACCCCCACCTCTGGGACTTCCTCTCCTATGACCATCGTTAACCTCTCAGAACTTTTCCCCTTTCTCACCACTGACTGCAAAGTGTTTCAGGGTGCTGGGGATTCTGGGCACTTCCACCCCAGCCTTCAAGTAAAAAGCAGCCAGAAAGCCACCTGCCTGAGCTCTCAACCTGCAGCTCCAGCATTTTGGGGTCCAGGAAGCATTATTTGTGTGTTGAGGACTGGGGAGACCTAAGGGTGATTTACGTCTGCGTCAATATGTGTTCCAGTCCAGCAGCCTAGAATTAAATTCCATGTCCCAACCAGAAGCTCTTCCTTACACTTTTCTGAGCACAAATAAATGGGTCTCAGCACCCGTATAATGAAACCTTTGGATTCTTAAAGACAAGAAAAGAAGAAAGGAAGAAAGGACTTTTGCTTTTTGAGACGCTCATCTCTAAAGGGGCAAAGATGGTGAGTCCCTTGGACAGAACTCCACATCTGATGGGAAGGATTAGCCTCGTGCAGAACAGATCTGGTCTCTGGAGAAGGCACCGTGGGACTGAGGCTGGCTCTGTGGAATCTAAACACACTTCAGCATAAATGCAATCACTTTCTGGCCAAAATATCATCAAGACTTTGTTTACGTTTTGCTGAAGCAGTCCTTGAAATCAGGGAAGTGTTCCAATAAGTGAGGAGGTTTTCCTCTTGAAACTTTGCCCAGGGGCCCAGAATAAACAAGTGCCATTTAAATTTTATATTGATTTTGGATGTGTATAGTCAATAGCATTTTTCCTCCTCTTGGAAATCTTTTGTTCCTTTGTTTTTTATTTATTTGGGGGGGAGGTAATTACATTTTTTATTTATTTTTAGAGGGGGTAGTGGGGATTGAACCCAGGACCTTGTGTATGCTAAGCATGTGCTCTACTCCTTGAGCTATACACTCCCCCTTGGAAATCTTGTTTAGACCACTTCCATAGAGTTTTTTGCATGTGACTTCAGTGCTCATCATATTTATAATAGAGTTTGTCTGCATCAAGCACCGGGGCTGTCTTTCCTATCCTTTAATGTCCACCTCCACCCAGAGCCTGGCATCTGATGGCTGTACAGTGAATGTTTGCTGAAATGAATGAATAAGTAAAAAAGGGTTCTGAGTTCCTAACACCAAAGTGGCCACAAAGTAGGGAGAGATTTGATGCTGTGAGCCTCGGGAACTGCCAGGATTATACCCTTGAGGCCATGCTGGCTGGGATCCTGTTTTTGTTGTTGTTAAATCAGACATTTAATAATTTAAGAAGCCAACCCTTCCAAGGTTTAGGCTCAGCTGAGCAGACAGTTAGGCTGCTCCCGCAGCGATGACGTTCCCTCCTGGCTGGGTCTCTGTGGTCTGCTGTGGCTGTGACCAACCTGAACGCATCCTCCCCAGGGATCCTCCGTGGCCCTTGGCCCAGCCACACTGCCAGGTCAGCTCCCGCTGGGATTCCTCAACCAAAGTGCCCAGAAGCAGGTTGCCACAAACTGTTCACTAAAGCAGACTTCTCTCCCTGTTTCTGTCGTTTCTGCCTCCCTTCTCTCTCTCTTTCACCCTTCCCCTAGTCTTTCTGCTATCCCAGCCTTTTTTCTCTCTCCAGCATCTTGATCAAGCTGCCTAGTCCTAACCAGACAGGCACCAGCATTTATTTTACAGTATTGATTTTAACAGAGGTGCTAAGAGGTAGCCCATCCAAACTGGTACAGCCTCGGCCAGAAGCCTGGTTTGGGCTGAGGCTGACTTAGAGTAGGGTGTCATGTCAGCTTCCCAGGTCTGAAGATGGGGACCCCTTTGTGCCATTCTCGGGGTGAGAAAGAGGGCATAGGGCCATGCACAGCCCCTCACCCCATGTGGCTCACACGTCCCACATAGGCTCACTATTCCCATGCTCACCCTTCTCCTCTGCCCACCAGGAGCTCCTTGAGGACGGCAATTGTTTTAAGTATCAGTGGGCTTCATACAGGGTGGCCCCAATATGAGCTAAATAAACATCTGCTCAGTCAGCTCCAGTACAGCTCTGGAGACCTACTGTGCGCCAGACTCCAGGCCTTGGAGATAGAGAGGTGAACTAGACAGACTTTGCTGGGTTCAAGGAACCTGTAGTCTTCCCGGAAAGACAGATTTGCAACTAATAGGAGGACGAGGAGAGACAGAAATGAGAAATGCAGATGTGGGGGCCAGGGCACACAAGGGGAGACCAAACCTCGACGAGGGGTCCGAAGGAGCTTCCCAGAGAAGTGCTGTTTCCACGGACTCCTAAAGGATGACTAGGAGTGATTGGGGTGGGGTGGAGGGGCCGGGAGGCAGAGGAGATACTTGTTGGATGGGTGGACGGGTGAACCTGGTGTTGAAATCTGAGCTCACTGGCCCAGTGGTACAGAGCATTCTGACAGGCACCGGAAAACAGATGCCTGGACTAGGGTGTCTTGTAACCATGGTGGTGGAAGTTACCTCTTTGTTGCCAGTCATGGCGTGTGGACCTGTGTCGCCAAAAGTCTATATGCTCTGGTCACAAATGCTCCTCAGAAGGAGATGAAATAGATACACCAACCTCCTCTGCCTGGGGTCGGGGGCCCCTGGGGTTGAGATGAAACCCTTTGACCCCAAGTCACATGGCAAATGGACCCTGCCAACCTCAGGCACCTCACCCAAGGCTCTTCTCCCCACCCAGATGAGCGGGAAGTTGTTCAGAAGAAGACCTTCACGAAATGGGTGAACTCACACCTGGCACGTGTGTCCTGCCGTATCACCGACCTCTACAAGGACCTGCGGGATGGGAGGATGCTCATCAAGCTGCTGGAGGTGCTCTCGGGAGAGACGCTGGTAAAGCCCCTTTCTGTGCTGCAGCCCCTTTCCCTGGGCCCGTGGCTGATGCTCTGTCCCTGCATCAGGAGAGACATGGTCTGGGGGTATCTCCAGTTCTCATGACCTTCCAATGTTTCTCCCTATTCTTCTGAGAGGTTTCAATACTAATAATGCACACAAGGTGTCCACGTGGCTGACTGGGCTCTCTGAACATGATCATCTAAACATGTCCTAGCATAAATGCAACCACTTTCCGTTCAATATGCCATCAAAACTTTAGTTACATTTTACCAATGCATTTCCAAATTTCTAGCCACTCCTACTCCTTCGTGCTCCTTCCAGAGACCATGCAGAGCTCCTGACTTTCTCCTCGTGGGGTCTGGGCATCTGTGGCTGGCCTGAGGCGGGCCCCCCTCAGCCTCCTCGCACAGGCTCCGATGGATCCCATTACTCAGCTGGAGAAATTTGCATCCTTCTCGGAACCAGGAGGAAAGCAGGAAAGATAATTTCCTGTGGTCCATCACTCTGACAAGTGGAGATTTGTAGCCCACCCAGCAGTAATGCTGCCCCTGTGGGAGAACCAGGTCAAGGCTCATGTTTTGCTAAGTTACTGTCATTGTGACCTTGGGCCTGTCAGGCAGGACCTTCTTTGCATCATTTCCTCCACGTGTAAAATGATACCTGTACCTGATGTAGTAGTCTAAGATCCTCGAGGTTTCAATGAAAAATACCACATTCTCCTATTGCTTTTTCAACTCCAGACTGAAATTAAAGACTGTCTCTTACCCTGCATTGAAAGCCCACTAGAGAGAGTTACCATTAAGAACCCTTCAAATGGTGCAGTTACTCATCAATCGTGGTCCCCTTGAGTTCTGGCTGTGGCCATTTGGGATACGGACGGAGATGATCAGATGGTGGGAAGGACCCATTATCAATCACCAAACTAAAAGCCACTCTTATCACCAACCAGTAGCAAAAATTTCCCATAACTGTGCCTGGCACACAGTAAGTGCTCAGTTAACTACCTGTTGTGTTACTGTGTTTGAATGCCATTTATCACCCACTCAGAAGGCTTTGTTGAGACCTGGGAACAGCACTGATGCAGCCCAGTTGCAGAGCTCTAGGTGCTCAAGACGGGGAACCTCTGAACTTGGCTAAAAGGATGGGGTTGAAGTGTCAAGGAGTGAGCGTGGGCACTAGAGTTTGACATGGAGGGTAGAGGGTGGATGCTGATGGCACAAGCTGGTTCAGGCTGCAGCCACCTCTAGGGTGACCATAAGGTCCTTCCATGCCCACGGGGGCAATGCTGTCCCTCAGCCAAAGCCCACGAAAGGGAAGATGCGCATCCACTGCCTGGAGAATGTGGACAAGGCCCTGCAGTTCCTGAAGGAGCAGCGTGTGCACCTGGAGAACATGGGCTCCCACGACATTGTGGATGGCAACCACCGCCTGGTCCTGGGCCTCATCTGGACCATCATCCTCCGCTTCCAGGTGGGCTCCCAGGGGCGGGGGGTGGAGGGAGCCTTGCTGGGCCAGGCAGGCTTGGGAATTTTACAAAATGGTGAACGAGTGTGAGCGTTTGTGCATGTTCTGGAAGGCCGGAAGCCTGTCCTGTGGGACAGTGCTTGTAGGAAGGAGAAACCATCCTCTGCGTTGTCAAGTTGCTGAAGTCCAGGGTGAGATGTTCAGTCAATAGTGTAGCCTTTTGAGAGAGAAGATAGAAACTAGTAGCTGGGCTGAGATCTGGCTGGAAGAGCTGCTTTTGTCCCCTTCCTCTCATAGATGGAACCTTTTGGTTTTTATAATAGTTTTGTTCAGAAATTGCAAAAACGATACAGAAGGTCAGCTTTTATGTTTTTCAGTCAGAAGCTTTTCTTGCCCCACCCTGAAATTCAAGGTCCATTATTGTAAGGAAATTTGGAAGGTACAAGGGAGGGAAAGGAGGGCCTTCCACCTGCTGGTTTGGGGACAGAAAGAACCTAGTTGGAAGAGAGAAAGGTGGAGAGAAGGAAGACAGTGCACAGCTCCCAGCCTGAAGGTCTCACCCAGGTGGTCTTGGGTGTCCAATCTCACTGTCCGTGTGTGCATGTGATGAAACACTAATCACAGCAGAATTGGGAAAAATGAAAAGGCTAGAGGAGCTGCTAATCAAAGCACAACACCTTCCAACATTCGTGTTGTGCCTCAGCCTGCAGGGCCTCATCACTCCTGAGGAGGAATTGCTATTTTTTCTGGGCCTCTCCTTAGAGTTTCAAGTTGGAGCTGTCTCCTCTGGCGTGGGGAAGTGGGCTGAGGCAGGGAGGCAGGCCCCTAGGCCCCAGGGCTCGAGCTCTGGTGCGGCTGCAGGGCTGGTGACTAGATGGACGGCTACAGAGGAGGAAAGCCAGAGGGGGCCTTCCAGGGAAAGCAGGAAGGCTCTGAGCCAGATACAGAACTAAGTCCTCCCTCTCTTGTTCCTGCACCCCAGATTCAGGACATCGTTGTCCAGACTCAGGAAGGTCGTGAGACACGCTCGGCCAAGGATGCGTTGCTGTTATGGTGTCAGATGAAGACGGCAGGGTATGCCCTGGGAACCAGCCGCCACCACGCTCCCCTCCCCTGTGCTCCCCTCAAGCGCCGCCGTCCCCAGGGGCACAGACACCGTCACCCATCACCAGGAGCTATGGCAGCTTCAGTGTCATCAATGCAAAGTCTGTCCTGACCTGATTCTTTGAGGCCTGAAAGACGGGCTTCTTTCTCAGAGTTGCTTGGGTCAGACTGTGGGGTCTGTTGGGGTGAGAGTCCCTTGGGCCCGCCTGATGGGGGAACCTCTTTGTGTGGCTTTTAGTAGCTGCCCCTCTTGTTGAAGCGGCTCGAGGAGGGCCAGGTCCCTTCCTCTCCTGATGTATTGGCCCTCGGTTCACACACCTGTCAGGGACCCCAGAACAATCTGTTTCTTAGGTCTTAATGTTTCTCTTGGATGCAGCTACCCCCACGTCAATGTCACCAACTTCACCTCCAGCTGGAAGGATGGCCTGGCCTTTAACGCCCTGATACACAAGCACCGGTAAGAGTGGGCAGAGGGCTGGGGGACTGAGGGGGCCCTGGGGGAATTTGGACACTTTGCTCCTAACACGTAGGTTACTGTTCAAGCTTCGCAGGAACGTACCTTCTGCTGGGCCTTCTCTCACCCTCAGCATCCTGCCTCCCTTAAATTCCATTCCCCGGGCCACTTCCCTTCCCCACATGCTGGTGCTCACAGCTGCCCTGCCTCTGCCCCGTCTCCTCATGCCTCTCCTGCTCAGCCACCTCCCTACATCTACCCAGGGTCTTTGCTTCATGCCAGGCCTGCCCTGTCGGTGGGGGATGCAAGGCATTGCCCCCCTCCCGCCCTTTAACAGTCTGGCTTTGTCCTCAGACCTGACCTGATCGACTTCGACAAGCTGAAGGACTCCAACGCCCGTCACAACCTGGAGCACGCATTTGACGTGGCTGAGCGTCAGCTGGGCATCATCCCGCTCCTCGACCCCGAAGGTGAGCCAGGGCCCCCACCAGCCCTTCGCTGCGGCACAGCCATAGGAGACAGTGCCTGTGCTGGACAGAGCACCTGGAGGAGTGTGGGCCAGGTGCTGGGCGAGCAGTGGGCACAGCAAGGGCATGGTGGCCCAGTCAGGGCTCTGCTCTGGTCTGCTCTTCAGATCCAAGCTGGTTCCAGACACCTCCCCTCTCCTCCCCTACTAGGGCCCACTGTAGTCTTTCCATCCTTTTTTCTTCTCTCATACCTTGTGGTCCTAACATGGATTTCATCCTCTCGCCAAATTGCAGTGCCATTCTTCTCCCACTCTTACCTGTCACATGGTGCCTGTAGTTGTACTTCGTGCTGGAGAAACTGGGAGGTGAACCACTCAAACCTGACATTTCTGGCTTCCAGTTTGGTCCTGAGGGTGCACCCTTTCCCTTGCAGATGTCTTCACAGAAAACCCTGATGAGAAATCCATCATTACCTACGTGGTGGCATTTTACCATTACTTTTCCAAGATGAAGGTGCTGGCAGTAGAGGGCAAGCGTGTCGGCAAGGTACCGAGCTGCTCCGTGACCAGAAGGTCCCCATTTCCTTGCTTGCCACACACAGGCCTTGACTGAGATGCTCTCTTTCTGTCCAAAGAGCTTTGCGTCTGGGCCCCAGCTGCAGGGGAGGGTGCAGGTCACCCATCCTCCACCACCAACTTCCTCTAAAGCCAAGCTTTGCCAAGTTAATGGCTCCCAAGCTGGTCGATGGTCTGTCTTGAATGCAGTCATAGCCCATAGCTCTGAGCTGATCTTCCACCTGCAGACCCATGTCTTGTAAACATTCCCACAGGAACTAAACGGGCTCTTACTTGTTGGTTTAGTGTGGTTTCAGGCCTCTTAGGCTCCCATGGCTTATCAGGGAGCCACCCCACTGAACAGACCCTCATGCCAGACTCCTCTCCCCTGCTGGATCCTTAGCTCCTCCAGGGAGGGGACCGTTTCTCACTCATCTTCATGTACCTGCTGTTTAGCAAAGACAGTACCTGTAAGCCCTCGATCCCTAATACCTGTTTTTAAATAAACAGGGCCTTGGCGCCTCTGGTGGCTGGTGTCCTGGCACAGCAAGCTTACCAGTCTTTTTTAGGGTTAGGGATGGGGGAGCTGGTCCTGAGTCCAAGCATGACCAGGTCCCTCCTGATGCTGCTGGTGCACTTCCAGCCCACTTTCTGTCTATCAGTGGTCTTGGGCTCAGGAAACAAACCCAAAATAAACATTCTAGGGCTTGCAAAGAGGAGGACCACCTCAACTGTGGTCTCCATTGGCGTCCTCATTGGCGTCCTGACCATTCTGATGAAGATGAGTCATAAGGTGATTCCCTAGGTCATCGACCATGCCATTGAGACTGAGAAGATGATTGAGAAGTATAGTGGTCTGGCCTCGGACCTGCTCACCTGGATCGAGCAGACCATCACCGTCCTGAACAGCCGCAAGTTCATCAAATCCCTGTCCAGCGTCCAGCAGCAGCTACAGGCCTTCAGCACCTACCGCACCGTGGAGAAGCCACCCAAGTAAGGGCCTGGGCACTTGGGAGGGTGGGCGTCGCAGCTGAGAAACCACCTTAAAAAGTTGGAAGGCCTGGAGAAGGGACCTGGGAGGCACATCCTAGAGGTCAGAGCGCTACCCATCTGTCACCTACTTCATCCTGTCTTGCCTTTCTGCTCCCAAGCCGTCAGCCTACAGGAAATGGGCATTGAGTAACCCCTGACTCATAACCAAAGAAAGTACTTTCCCAGATCCCTGAGGGGGAGCAGGAGTGAAATCGCAGGCTTCAGAGTCTCTTCAAAGAGTGTATGCTGGAAAGTTCCTCTCTGTTTGCACACTGAGCTGTGGGTTTGTTCTCTGATAATGACCTTTGTATCCACAGCCCCAGAGCTCTCTGTGTGGGACTTTGTAGATCGCCAAGCACATCCTTCTTCTCTCCCTTCTGTCAGTGCTCATCCATCAGCAGAGCACTTAGCCTGCCTCTCGGGACCTCTGCTCCACTCCAGTGTGTGCAGGGCCTGAGTGCACATACGCACACACAAACACAACCATGCATACGCACGCACGCACGCGCGCGCGCGCGCACACACACACACACACACACACACACACACACGGCATTCCAGCTTGTCTGCTCTTAGCTTGCCTGGCTCCCCTGAAACATATTTCTAGCTCGGTGGTGGTACCTGCTGGCTTCTTCCTCCCGGGCTCATTCATTCATGACTCTTAAACAGGGAAAGATGAGATGCAGAGTCTAGAACGTGCTATAAACAAGTATCTGATTTCTGGCCCGACACTAACCCACTTTTAAAGTCCTAAATCCAATACAGATAACATCCACTGTGAGTCTACCAAGCACTGTGCACAGGAGTGATACCTCTTGGCTGTGTAGAGAGTGCCCGAGGCCTGTGAGCCATCAGATCTATTAGGCTGGCCTCAGGGCTGGGACCTTGCTTACCAGGTGAACTCCAACTGCTATGTGGAGGAGGCAGAAGTGGGTAGATACCTGGGGACATGCAGAAATGGGGAAGTACTCAGTTACCTGGAGCTTGGACCCTGGGTTCCAGGCATCCATCCTGCTCCAGTCCTCATCTCCTACACCTACAGTCCTCCCAGAGCCCGGCCTTTCGTCCCAGCTCAGAAGCATCTGGCCTTTGGGACAGTTCTCAAGAGGGCCGACTCATTAGTACTCAGGTGAAAGTTGCTTTCAGTGCAATATATTCTCACATGCATAATGCTGCTTCAAAGGTTTTATTGACTCAAGCAGTAAAAAACTGACTAAAGAGCCAGACAGAGCCTTCAACACTTGCAGAACAGGAAAGAGTTTCCTTGTATCGCCTGATAAAACTTGATATCTGCAGGAATTCCCAAAATACTCCAGTTAGCTATTCCCCCATGGAAGCAAATGATAAGCACTGTGGTAGTTGTGTTTTCTCTGATTCATGTTGTAAAGGCTCAACCCCTCTTAGATCTCAGCTGGTGAGTATCATAGACTGATAGATGTTGTTAACAGGTAAGTAAACCTGTATAGATCCTCCTCACTTTTTGTTTCTAAGAGAAATACGCATTGCTGTGCAAGCTCCAAGGTGCCAGGGTTCCAAGTTCACTTTAAAAAAAACAAAACTGGCTGTGGGAATCTTGACACTCATCTCCCTACCTCTGCTTTCTCAACAGGTTTCAGGAGAAGGGGAATCTGGAAGTCCTACTTTTTACCATCCAGTCCCGAATGAGAGCCAACAATCAGAAAGTGTACACGCCCCATGATGGGAAATTAGTGTCTGACATCAACCGGGTATAGCCGTGTTTTCCGTTACACATTGCCAGTGGGTTGACTGAGCACCTAATAAAGGCACAGGGAACGGTCACAGGACAGGGTTAAACCAAGCCACTCTCTGTGGTGTTATTAAGGACACCTCTAGCTATGGAGGGTGCTCTCTGAGCCTACCCTGAGGGGTCAGACCCCACTCACCATTCATCAGTTCAGCCCCCTGTTCAGAGGCCCAGAGTCCACTTTTTGGAGCCAATTTTATAGTCTATTCTCCACAGAACCTTGGGGTTGTTTTAGAATATTAAGTACTTAGAAGAGAAATGCCTTAAGACATTTCAGAGGTTTGGAGGCCTAAAACCACCTAGAAGTTCTAGTAGGATGGAGGTAGCTGTTTAGTCATTGATGGTTCACTGAGCGCCTGGAGAGGGCAGATGACATTGCAGCAGGCCAGCAGACTGAGGCAGGTTAGAGGGAGAGGGAACCGGGAGTTCACAGCCAGTGCTGCCTGAATCTTTGGCCCAGACAGAGGAGCCAAAAGGCTGTCACTGAGCTTTAATCTAGGCTCTGCCTGTTTCCTAAGATCATTCAGTGTCGGGTAAAAGAGTGGGGACCCCCAGACCCCAAGAGCTCTCCCCTATCCCGAGCAGGCCTGGAAAAGCCTGGAGGAAGCTGAGTATCAGCGGGAGCTGGACCTGAGGAATGAGCTCATCCGGCAGGAGAAGCTGGAGCAGTTGGCCCGGCGCTTTGACCGAAAGGCCGCCATGAGAGAGACGTGGCTCAGTGAAAACCAGCGTCTTGTGGCCCAGGTAATTGGGGCCACACTTGGGGACGCAGGAGGAGAGGATACTGTCCAGAGCCCGCAGCAGTTATGGGGCTGCAGCCCGACCTGGCCTCTCCACAGGCCTTGCAGCCTTGCTCCCTGTGATTGGGTGAATTGAGATTCATATCTGTGCAGATACTAACTACTACATATATGTAATAGATAAACAGCAAGATCCTACTGTACTGCCCAGGGAACTATATTCACTACCTTGTGATAGCCTATAATGAAAAAGATTATGGAAAGGAATATATATATGTACAACTGAATCACTATGCTGTACACCAGAAATTAACACAACATTGTAAACTGACTACACTTCAATTAAAAAAAACAGATTCACATCTGATAAAGTACTCTCCCAGATTTAGTAAGTCTCATTTTTAGCAGAGCCTCACAATCCAGAAATGGCCCCTGAAGTTGTCTTATATGAGCCAGTAGCAACTGTTAGAGCTGGGGTTCGAGTTAACACTTCAGCGGTCCTCTGGGGGTGTGCTGAAAGCCTTGTGTGTCAGACATGACCCTTGGACTCTGGCCTCTAGGGCCATGTCATGTTTCACTAGCTAAAAATTGACCCCAGGGCTGATTCTCCATGAGAGCATCTGATCCTTCCCACTTGGAGCTTGGAATCCCATTAAATTCTACCCAGAAAGGGGAAAGCAAGTATTCTGAGAGAACTGGAGAGTGTGCTCGTGCACCCCAGATAGCGTGGAGGTAAGCCATCTGTGGCAGCTGTGTGGTTTCCAAGTGAGAAGCCCCTTCCCACCCAGAATCCAGCAGGTCCACTCAAGGCAGGATGGTGGATGCCAGTCAAGGCTCTTGTGAGACACTTAGTCTTTGGAACTTGGCTCTGATAAGATAGGATGGAAAAGAAGGCAGAACTCACTTCCTGGGAAAGGGCTTTCCCACCCAGCAATTGTTCTGAAGGGACCCGCCGTTTCTCTGCATTTGAGGACCGACTTAAGGGACCCTGACTGAGCTGCCTGTTTGCCTCCCTGTGGGACAGGATAACTTCGGGTACGACCTGGCAGCTGTGGAGGCCGCCAAGAAGAAGCATGAGGCCATTGAGACAGACACGGCTGCCTACGAGGAGCGGGTGAGGGCCCTGGAGGACCTGGCCCAGGAGCTGGAGAAGGAGGACTACCACGACCAGAAGCGCATCACAGCCCGCAAGGACAACATCCTGCACCTGTGGAACTACCTGCAGGAGCTGCTGCAGTCCCGGCGCCAGAGACTCGAGAAGACGCTGGCACTACAGAAGCTCTTCCAGGACATGCTGCACAGCATCGACTGGATGGATGAGATCAAGGTGACCCTGAGGACCCCCATCCCCTGCCCACCTTGGGCTTTGGCGCCCACTCTTCAGTGGGCTGTGCTGCCGTAGGTGCCTCCCAGCCCCATGTCCCTGAGTCAGAGCGGAGAATCAGAGGCAGCACAGCATCTGGCTGCACCTGCCTCTCAATTGCTCAGCTCACTCTGCTCCAGCCCATGTCTGCTGTGTCCCTAATGATCAAGAAATCTGGGGTTCATAGCACAGGTGCCAACCTGCAGAGCCTAGAAGAGACAGACATCCATCAGGAGCCTGGAGAATCAGGCTCTCCATGATCATGATTTGACTGATTGGAATCCAGACCTCCCGACACAGGCCCACCAAGAAGTCTGAGTCTCCTCTCCCTCTGCTGAAGTCACTCTCAACTGAGAACACACATCTCACTGACCATGGAGCTTTCTAAAAATACCCATGCATCGGCCCCAAACCTGGGACAGATGCAGGAGATCGAGTGTAGGTCTTGAGCCGTGAGAGCTGCTCCCTGGGTGATTCTGATGGGCACCCCCAGCAGGAGCTCCTGCTCTATAGCTTCTTCCGCACTGAGCAGCAGCCTTTTCCCAGCTACATCTGACTCACCCTGTTCCCAGTGCCATGGACTCTCCCTTTGGAGGGGTCTGTTCTCTTAACATTTAGGTCTCTTTACCTCCCCTCACTTCCTCTACCCTGTTTTCTTTGCCAGGCTCACCTCTTGTCTGCTGAGTTTGGGAAGCACTTATTGGAGGTTGAGGACTTGCTGCAGAAACACAAATTGATGGAGGCCGACATTGCCATCCAAGGGGACAAAGTGAAGGCCATCACTGCTGCTACTCTGCAATTCACTGAGGGGACAGGTGAGACCTCTGGCTCAGGGCTCCAGGACCCCAGCTTGGATAAATCTAGCTGGAGAATTCTGCCTCTTTCATCAACTCATGGTGCAAGAAAGAAGCTTGAGGGATGGCAAACTTCTCCAGAGAGCAGGTGTCTGCTTTGGTCGTCTATAGTCAGAAGGTGTTTATAAGCACCAGTAAGGCATCCTCCGTCTTTCCTTCTCTCTGGTTGTTCAAGTCACAGCAAAGACGATTTAGATTTATAGTTTCGGGTCTAAATTGGGAAATACCCACTGCCTCTTTGAAGAGGATTGAAGAATCCTCTTGAAATTTGTGTCTACGTCTTTCAAAAAATTCATTTCACATTGTGCATTTCTATTGAGAGCTAATCCAACTTGTAACCTCCCTTATTCCCAAAGTTTCAGTCGAAACTGATCATAAAGAACTAATTAAAAGCCTATCCTCTGAGCAACTGGGGCCCCCTGCATCCAATCCCAGAGCCCCAGTGAGATCCCAGGCTCTAGATCGCATGGTTCTAGCCTGGCACCTGATCTGGCTTGCCCACAGATGAAGGCCTTCCCCTTTTTGTCCTCCCTTCTCCCATTCCTCCCAGGGTACCAGCCTTGCGACCCCCAGGTCATCCGGGACCGTGTCAGCCACCTGGAGCAGTGCTTCGAGGAGCTGAGCAACACAGCGGCCGGGCGAAAGGCCCAGCTGGAGCAGTCCAAGCGGCTCTGGAAGTTCTTCTGGGAGATGGATGAGGCCGAGAGCTGGATCAAGGAGAAAGAGCAGATTTACTCCTCCCTGGACTACGGCAAGGACCTGACCAGCGTGCTCATCTTGCAGCGCAAGCACAAGGCCTTTGAGGATGAGCTGCGCGGGCTGGACGCCCACCTGCAGCACATCTTCCAGGAGGCTGAGGGCATGATTGCACGCAAACAGTTTGGATACCCGCAGATCAAGGCCCGAATTAAGGAGGTGTCTGCCCAGTGGGACCAGCTGAAGGAGCTGGCTGCCTTTCGCAAGAGGAACCTCCAGGATGCTGAGAACTTCTTCCAGTTCCAGGGCGATGCAGACGACCTGAAGGCCTGGCTGCAGGATGCCCACCGGCTGCTCTCAGGAGATGACGTGGGGCAGGATGAAGGGGCCACACGGGCCCTGGAGAAAAAGCACAAGGACTTCCTGGATAAGTTGGAGGAGAGCCGCGGGGTGATGGAGCATCTGAAACAGCAGGCCCAGGCCTTCCCCCAAGAGTTTCGGGATTCCCCAGATGTGACCAATCGGCTGCAGACCCTCCAGGATCTCTACCAGCAGGTGGTGGCCCAGGCAGACCTGCGTCAGCACAGGCTGCAGGATGCCCTGGACCTGTACATGGTGTTTGGGGAGACTGATGCCTGTAAGCTGTGGATGAGTGAGAAGGAGAAGTGGCTGGCCCAGATGGATATCCCAGACACGCTGGAGGACCTGGAGGTTGTGCAGCACAGGTCCGAGGCTCCCCTTCCCTTCCTCACCTCCCCTCACACAGTCTGTGCTCTTACTGTAGGGACAGCCTCTAGATCAGCAAGGGTCTCTTTGAGAGGCTGTAGGATGCCTTTTATCATAGCAGCCAGGCACCAAGAGTCCAGAGTTCTGATCTGGCTCTGTGACTTCGGGTACTTCACCTCCTGGGGCCTTTCTCAAAATAAATCAAAGGGTCTCTTTCTAGTCCAGGTGTTTGGTTACTTTTCAAGTACAGCAGCCTTTGTTCAAATGAATTGTGTATAGAACCCCTGACATGTAATGCAGAGGAAAGTGGAGCTGATCTGGTTAAGGGGGAGGCAAGAGGCTGGACCCCACAAGCTCTAGCTTTCTGTGGCAGCCCCTAAGCCACAGAGCCGTGAGGAGCCACAGAGACCAGTTTGCAAACTGCCAGTCTGCAAGGCCACTGTCATTTCCAGGATTCCAGTTCCATTAGCACTCGAGAATGGGAAGATGTGCCCCCAGCATGTGTGGCATCCCAGCATCTTGAGTACAGAATCCAGGGGATTGAGTGGAAGAGGTCACTCCCTGGAGCAGGCTGAGGTGGTCCCATGCTGATGCTGGAGGGACCTGGGCTCCTACCCAGAAGGGTCAGCTGTCAGAACCACACAACACCTCTCCCCTCAGCAGCTTTCCCTTCTCCTACCAAGGGTTGGAGGACCTGGCTAGGGAGGCATCCTTCAGGTCAAGGTGTCAAGGCAGTGAAATTAGGGTCCACGGGCAGCAGCTGGGGCAGTGGAGGCATGGCACGTAGTCTCTCTGGTGACCAACCCCCACGCCTCATTTCCTCCTGCACCTCCCTGTTGAGTGGCCTGTGTAGTAAGTAACCAGCTCACTCCTAGCCTGATCCAGAAATGCTAAACCATGAAACTGGACCCACGAACCAGAAAATAATGTGTCAGCACACCTTTCTTCTTTCTCCTCTCTCACCTGGTCAAATGTATTTAGGAGGTGAAAGGAGAAAGTAAGAGCTACATGTTCTGGAGACTGAGTGACCACTGCTGCCTTACCAACCCTCAGTTTCTCTGTCCGTATCAGGTTTGACATCCTGGACCAGGAGATGAAGACTCTGATGGCTCAGATTGATAGCGTGAACCTTGCTGCCAACAGCCTGGTAGAGAGTAACCACCCGCGCAGTGGGGAGGTGAAGCAGTACCAGGACCAGCTGAACACCAGGTGGGAGCATGGGGAGGGCTTGGGGCTGGAGGCTTCTTTTCCTGGCACCTGACTCACCCCTGGGGGTGTGACCCAAAAGTCAGGATGCCTGCTATGTCCTGCCCAGTTTGTACCCTCAGAGTTCCTGCCTCACTCAGCCATACTCACCTTCTGTCACTAGAGCTGAAGCAGCGAGGAGGAGGGACCTGTGTGGTGACCAGCCCAGGGACAGGGAGAGATGTGTTCACACAGCTTCAAGTTCTGTGCCTGGGGCGGGTGTGTGCTGTGCAGTGGAGGGGACACTCTAAGTGCATCCATAGTTAGAATCGGGCCATATGGTTCTCAGGCTACGTTTCCCCGGATGTTCTTAGGCAGGAAAATTGCTTTCTGAGAGCTCTTAAGTACTGTCCATAAAAGAAAGCTCCTGCTTGTGCCAAAATGCAGCTTTGTAATGAGACTGGCTTGAATGAAGAGGAGAATTAGCAGGAAGCCTTGAGCACACTTTGTGGCCAGAACGAAAAACGGGCCCTGAGGAGCCTTTGAAGAGGGGCTGCTTTCAGTACAGGGTGTAATTGCCCCGAGTTCCTCGAGGATCTCTGAGGACAGAGCACACGCGTATATTAAGTTTGTTGCCCTGAGCCCTATGCACACCCAGTGCCACGCGCTCACCACCTCTGCACTGCCGCGCTCCCTTTCTCCACACTTGTGCCTGAGCCCTGCTCTGCCCGAGGCAGCTGGGAGGTGGGGTTAAGTAAGATTCAGCTGTTTAAAAAAAAAAGGCAAGGGGCAGCACAATGGGGGCTTAAGGGTAGGCAAGGGGTGACCCTTCCCCACCCAGATACTTTGGAGCCATTGAGCAAGGCCAATTGGGAGCAGAGGGGTATAGCTCAATGTAGAGCGCATGCTTAGCATGCACAGGGTCCAAGGTTCAATCCCCAGTGCCTCCATTAAAATAAACAAACAAACAAACAAACCTAATTACCTCCCCCCACAAGAAAACAATTTTAAAAAATGAATAATGGGGGATCCATGTGCAAGTGCAGGACAGACAGAGGGACTTGTCAGCTAGCACATTTGTGACTTGAATGAGCTATAGTCAGAGAATGATCTTACAGACCCCTAAGCCGTGCACCAAGATATGCTTGTATTTCGAAAAATCTGGGGAACATGCAGAGCATCATGTTCCTTTACTGATGTTTGGAATAACATCACAGCTCACCTCCTGCTGATGGAAATCTCTGATTGGCAGTTATGTTGTCTTGGGTAAAATTGGATAAACAGATTTTACTCATCACAGCTTGTTGGATAGATTTTTTTTTTCCAGCATGTAAGGTCTATCAGGAGAGACTCTAGTGGGAAATCTGAAAGGGACACCTTGTGAGAAGAGTTAAAGAAGAGGGTGTCTCTGTGTCCCCCATCCCCCTCGGCAGGTGGCAGGCATTCCAGACCATGGTGTTAGGCCGGCGGGAGGCAGTGGACTCGGCCCTTTGGGTGCACAACTACTGTGTGGACTGCGAGGAGACCAGCAAGTGGATCACGGACAAGACAAATGTAGTAGAGTCCACAAAGAACCTGGGTCGGGACCTGGCGGGCGTCATTGCCATTCAGCGCAAGTTGTCGGGGCTGGAGCGTGATGTGGCCGCCATCCAGGCCCGCGTGGGTACCCTTGAGCGGGAGTCACAGCGGCTGATGGAGTCACACCCTGAGCTGGAGAAGGACATTGGCCGGCGGCAGGCGTATGTGGAGGAGCTGTGGCAGGGCCTGCAGCAAGCCCTGAAGGGCCAGGAGGCCTCGCTGGGGGAAGCCAGCCAGCTGCAGGCCTTCCTGCAGGATCTAGATAAATTCCAGGCTTGGCTATCCACGGCCCAGAAGGACGTGGCCTCCAAGGACATGCCCGAGTCCCTCCTAGAGGCTGAGCAGCTCCTGCAGCAGCATGGGGCCATCAAGGATGACATTGACAGGCACCAGGAAAGCTACCAGCAGGTCATGGCATCTGGGGAGAAAGTAATTAGTGGCCAGACGGACCCAGAGTACCAGCTCTTAGGCCAACGGCTGGGTGGCCTGGCTACTGGCTGGGACTCCCTGCGCCGGATGTGGGAAAGCCGCAGCCACACCCTCACCCAGTGCCTCGGCTTCCAGGAGTTCCAGAAGGATGCCAAGCAGGCTGAAACCATCCTCAGCAACCAGGTAGGGAGAGGCATTAAGGACTTGAAGGCAGGGGATATCTCTCGGGGCAACAGGAATTCCTAAGCTGTAAGTCTGTATAAGTGCTACAGGACTCGGGGACCAAATTATGCTTTTCTTGGCCTCTCTCTCGCCACTAGTTCGGGGGACACTACTTCTCTTTGTTCTTTTCGTGTGCCTTTTCCAGCCCTGTGTCCCAAACTATGTTCTGTTCTTAGGTCAGTTAGAGAAGTGAATTTTCCCCTGGGCAGTTACCCTTCCATGTGGCTGTAGGCACCCTGTTCATCAAGTGCCCTGGGTGAGGGTGGGGAACAAGGCCCAGGGAGCTGCTTCTTTGCCCAACTCCAGGGGGTGCCATTCATGCTGTAACCTGCGTGGCTGCACATGGTGCCTCTGCCTGGCAGGTGCCCCCACCACCTCCTCAGCTTGTCTTCATGCCTTTTCTGGAAACTTGCTTCAACAGGAATACACTCTGGCTCACTTGGAGCCCCCAGACTCCCTAGAAGCTGCAGAGGCCGGGATACGGAAGTTTGAGGATTTCTTGTTGTCTATGAAGAACAACCAGAATAAGGTCTTGAGCACCATAGACTCTGGAAACAAGCTGGTAGCTGAGGGAAACCTCTACTCCAACAAGATCAAGGAGAAGGTGCAGCTGATTGAGGACAGGTACTCTCAGCCTAGGGCCAGGGGCAGAGCCAGGAAGTGTGGTGGTGCTGCACTCAGCACCTTGTGACTGTGGCTCCCGGCTTCCCTTCCAGGCACAGGAAGAATGGCAAGAGGGCCCAGGAGGCCGGAGACCTTCTGAGAGACAACCTGGAGCTCCAGAACTTCCTGCAGAACTGCCAGGAGGTGGGGCTGGCCACTTCGTGGGAGATTCCTCCTAGGAGCAGAGCGCCCTAGAGGGGGGAAGTCCTTTCTAGGGTGAATTCCATGAGTGGGGAGCTCTGCACACTTAACAGCTCAAGTCTTTTATCCTCTAGAATCTTTGGTTCCACAGGTTTTTTTTTCAAATCAGTAAAGATGTCTTTGAATTTGTCAAGTCTAGGGCAGTATCTCAAAGAGTGGCCTGAGGACTCTCTGTAGTAGAGTCATCCAGGGCCCTGGTCAGGGTTGGCTTGAAGGGCGTGTGACCTGGGCATTCACAGGGGGCCCCTTGCTTAGAGGGGCCCCACACTTGGTTTCGGGCTCTGCTGTTGCCATCTTGAAATTCTTAATAATTTTGAATGTTTCCATTTTGCACCAGGCCCTGCAAATTATGGAGCTGGTCTTGGCTCTAATTAAATGCAGACTCCAGGGCCCTACTTGGGCCCAGGTGAATCAGAACTTAAGGGATGAGAGAGAGTAGCATTCTCAACAAGCCTCCCAGTTGGAGAACTGTTGAGTTAGAAGGTCCCAGTTCAGCCTAGGGCAGGCTGTACAAGGAAGGTCTTAAGCCTGCACTCCCAGGTCCCTCTGTGAACAGTACTTCCATGTGGAACGGGGCTTTCTCTGACTTCTTTCTTGCCCCCATCCTCATACCCCTTTCCCCTCAACCCAAATGACTTTGCTTTTGTCTACCTCTGCCCTTGGCACAAACCAGGCTTGGTGTGGTGCCAGGACATCTGGGGAACATTGAAGGCTCATCAGAGTTCTCTCCTCATTGTTAATTATAGGATCTGCCCTTGGCTTCTTCCTCAGATAACATTTTCTCCGTGTTTGTTAATGATTTCTCACCCTACTGCCAAAGGGTGGATTTATCCATCCACCCAGTAAGCACTCACTGAGTTCCTGTAATAGACCAGGCCCTGTCCTTGGGCCTAGAAACACGGAGAGAAGCATAGATACACCTGGTGTCACACTCGTGGGGAAGACACACCAGTGCCTGTGTTTAAGCCCTGAGACAACGCGGGTTAGGTTGCCTGTGCTGGAATTAGGGATCAGGATTGGAGGGCAGTACTCTACTGTGTTTACATTTCTCTCCTTGGCCTTCTCCTTCTGCAGCCAGAGCTGGGCAGCAGGTCCTGCCCTGAGCCCTGGCCAAAGAGGGGCACTTGGGGGCCATTGGACCTACTCTTTCTGCCCACAGCTCACTCTCTGGATCAATGACAAGCTGCTGACATCTCAGGATGTCTCCTATGATGAAGCGCGAAACCTTCACAACAAGTGGCTGAAGCACCAGGCATTCATGGCGGAGCTGGCTTCCCACCAGGGCTGGCTGGAGAACATTGATGCAGTGAGTAAAGCTAGCAGTGGGGGGCTCTGGTGTGCTTCCTGGAATGGGGCTTCACGTGGGGCATGGACACAGTCCAGAAGCTGGCTAGACAGTACAGAACCTGGATGTGAAAAACTTCTCCAAAGAGTAGTTAAACCTGCAGAGCTCCTGGTATATCCAGCCTTCTTCAGCCTGGTCAGAATGCATTCCTCCTTTGGGTCATCTGAGTCTGGGGACCATCCGGGACACTGAGGACGCCTGAGTTACAGCTTCAGCGTCCAGTGCCAGGACAGCAGTTATCTCTGTTTGCCTTCTGTTATCCTCACCCAGGTCCCAGCACTGTCCTGCCCGGGGGCAGGGAAATATGTGAGATGAGCAGAGTGGGCCAGGGACCTGTTGACCCTCACCATTTGGGTGGCAGAAGCACCTGTAGATGGAGAACCAGGGTCCCCTCTGTAACCAGCTTGCCCAGGGGCCCAAGTTAAAATGTGGCTGGAGTTAAATCTGGAAATAGAAAGGGAGGTGCTTTGCCTCTCCTTGTTGTGGCTGTCCAGGAGAAGCAGGCGAGGGGCCACACGAGGCTGTGTCCATAGTGGTTAAGGGTGCAGGCTCCGAGTCAGACTGTCTGACTCCTCAACCTTCCTGCACCTCAGTTTCTTCATCTGTGAAATGAGATAATAACAGTACCCACCCGAGGGAGTTGTGAGCACTAAAGCACTTCGAAAAATATTTGGCAATTATTAGGCCCTCAATAACTACCGACTCTTATTAGCAAATAATATTCCTAGGCCCGAGTCACCTCATACTGTAACCTTCCTAGAAAAATACATTTATGTAGGTGAAAACCAGGTAAGACAAATTCAGTAACTAAAAGATATCCCCGAAGATCAGTGCACAGTTTCTTGGAAGACGATTAAGAGGGTGGAACTCACAGGGAGGTTTCCTGCTGGTTGTACCTGGATGGGTCTTGAATCTTTTTTTTTTAATTAAACTTTTTTTTTTTACTACTAACTGGTTCTTGTCTGCAGCTCCCCATACTGCAATCTCTCTGAGTCATTTGCCCCAAACTCACTCTCCCTGGCCCACCTTCTACAAATATATATCTCTGGGGGTGCACAGTCTTTCAGTTGAGCCTCACCTGAGTTCTGTGCAGATCCTTTGCCTCACTAACCTTCCCTTCATTAGCTCTTTGCAACCACCTGGACCAGGGCTCTCCAAGATCACCTGGCATCAGAGGGTGAGCTCTCCTCCTTTCCACACAGGAAGGAAAGCAGCTGATGGAGGAGAAGCCCCAGTATTTGGCCCTGGTGTCCCAGAGGCTAGAAGCCTTGCACCAGCTCTGGAATGAGCTTCAGGCCACCACACAGGAGACAGCCCAGCGCCTCTCAGCCGCCAGGAGCTCCGAGCTGCACCTGCAGACCCACGCCGACCTCAACAAGTGGATCAGGGCCATGGAGGACCAGCTGCGGTCAGACGACCTGGGCAAGGATCTGACCAGCGTCAACAGGATGCTAGCTAAGCTGAAGGCACGCAAGTGGGTTGTAGACTGGGGGTGTTGGCGTGGAGGGGGTCTCGGGAGCAAATCTGCAACCTGAAAGTGAGTACTTGTCCTGTCCTCTTAGCTGGGCTGATTTTAATCAGGCCTCCTGGTTCATAGCCCAGCTCCTACCCCTTTGCAGCAGATAAGACAGGCAGGGATCCAGATGGGGTAATAAAAGCGTGCACGAGAAGTACAGGACAGAAACTCAGAGGAGCGAAAGATGAGGTGCGGGTCAATCCAAGGAGACTTCTTGGGGGAGGCTGAGGTCAAACCAAGCCTTTGAGGATGAGTGGGAGAGAGGATGATAAAGAGGACAAGGGGCTGCCCAGGTGCCAATGCTGGTGCCAACACTATCCCCTTGTGGCCCAGCGCGTGGAGGACCAAGTGAACGTGCGGAAGGAGGAGCTGAGGGAGCTGTTTGCCCAGATGCCGTCGCTGGAAGAGGAGGTGGAAGGGGAAGACCTGAGCATTGAGAAGCGGTTCCTGGACCTTCTGGAGCCCTTGGGGAGGAGGAAGAAGCAGCTGGAATCATCCAGAGCCAAGCTGCAGCTCAGCCGGGACTTAGAGGATGAGACGGTGAGTGGGCCGCAGCTGTCCTCCCCTGACCTCCAGCAGCTGACCCGGCAGCTGCCATCAGGGTAGCTGGCTGCTGCCCAGGGCAGTTCTTGGCAGCTGATGTCTGGTCATCTCACCCCCTTGTCTCTTAGGCTCTTAGTGATGATTACATTAAGTATAAAAGTAAGCCAGTGCCTTCTGAGGTAGCTCACTCACAGACTTTGGGGCCAGACAGAGTTGGGCTCAAGATCCAGCTATGTTTCCCTCCCCCAAGGGACCAGGAGCAAGTTATTTGGAATCTCGATTCAAAATATCGAAATGCCCCCATATGACAAAACCCTGGTGGGGTGTTGGGAAGAACCAGGGAGACACAGGAGGCAGAGCTCTGTCTGACCCACAGTGACTGTCATCAACTACCCTCTGCCTTCTGGTCTCTGCAGCTCTGGGTGGAGGAGAGGCTGCCTCTGGCCCAGTCGGCCGACTATGGCACTAACCTGCAAACTGTGCAGCTGTTCATGAAGAAGAACCAGGTGAGTCCTGTTTCACCTCGTCAGTCCCACCTGCCCCTGCCCCGCCCCAGGGCGAAGGGCCCAGCCCTGACCTGCAGAAGGGCCCTGACAGCAGATTACAGATTGCTGTTCTCAGTGATAGCTATGGGGCCCCTGGTCTGTGTCTGTATTCCCAAAGCAGAAGGAGCAGCTTTGGTGATGGCAGAGAGAACGTGGGGAGGACCATAGGGGTTGGGGCAGGGAGGGAATGAGGGGTTGGGGGCCATTTGGACCCAGCAGGACAGAGATGAGTCCAAGACTCAGAGGCCTGGGCCTGGGGCTTAAGGTGCTTTACAGCTTCTGTATTCTGTGGCCTCCCTGAGAGTAGGCTCATAGCTCCTGGTGTCTCTCTCATCACTGCCTTGACCCTCTTCCAGGGCAAACGTTGGCCTAATGGGTCTCCTCAGGGTAAGTAGCTCCCTGTCTTCTGGACACATGAGAATACTTGTGGGGCTCAAGCCCCATGAGGAAGCTGCTAAACTTGGATTCTGAGCCATTGGAACAAACATCCATTGGCTGTTCTGCTTTCTTAGACTTGATTGCAAACTTCCGTGGCCCTGGTCAGAATCCTGGAAGCAAGCAGATGTACTTCCTCTGTATCCGGTTGCAGGGGAAGCCTGCATCCCTCGGGAAGGCCAGTTGCATGGGGTCATGGTCTGGCCTCCATGTCTGGCCAGGGGCTGGCCACATCCCTGCTCTTGGGCAGGGAGTCCCTCCTGCCCGGTCTGCTCTCTGACTCTGAAAGTGGAGGCAGCTGCAGCCACAAGCACAGAGAGTCTGAGAACTTACCCCAGAGAAGAGCAGCGTGTCTCAGAGTGCCAGTTGGTACTGCACCTCCTTGGGGAAGGAAGGTCACATCAGACAGTATTTCCTTCTCCCAAAATATCAGCAGCCAACATCTGCTCACAGAACCCAGCAACTGTGCAAGGGCTGGAATGAATTCTATTCAAAGAGGTTTCTTAAAAGTGCCCTTGAACCCTGTGCTTCCAGTTGGCATGGTCAAGTCACCAAGCCTCCAGTGGCAGCATGTGGGGAATGGAGCTCGAAGGTGGTACAGGCAGGGATTCAGCTAAAGGGGGAGGCTGCTGGGAGACGGTATCCTCGGGGCCTCTAAGTTTCCTCAACTGCAAATGAGCCAGCTCTAATCCTTCCAACACTGAAGACTTTAGCCTCAGTGAGGGTTATTGCCAAATGACTTTCAGCTCCCCTGGCTGAGGGCTGCTATTTCAGGAGAAGGGCAAGACAAATATGGATGGGGTTCCCCTTAACGAGAAAGCAGACATAATCTCTTAGAGGAGAGTGTGGCTGCCCCAGTAAAGGCTATTTTAGGTTAGCCTCACTAGAGCTGAAATCCCACTTTATCATTTCTTCTATTGCAGTGGTCAGTGTGCATCAGAGTCAGCCAGAGGGCTTGTTAAAACGCAGTTGATCAGACTCCACCAACCCCCCCCATCTACCACATGAGACCTGAGGGCATAGCCTGATAATGTGCATTTCCATCAAGATCCTAGGTGATGCTGATGCTGCTGGCCTGGAGCCCCACATTGAGAACCACTGCTCTAGTGGCTGTCATTGTGACTAGGATAGAACCTGCAAGGTGCCACATGAAGGGTTCTCAGCTCTGGCTGCACCTTAGAATCACCTGGGGGGCCCTCTAGACATACCATTGCCTAGATCCCACCTCAGATCAATTAATTAGGATCTCTGGGGATGGGGCCCTGGCTACGTCTGTTTTCCCAGATGATTCAATGTGCAGCCAGGGTTAAGAACCACTTTCCTGCATGATCTGGCCCCTCCCCCCGACCTTGAATCTCCTCGTATCACTTTCGCCCTCCTTCACTGTATTCTAGCTCTTCTGGCCCTCCTTGTGGCCTTTGGACAGTCCAGGCTTGCTTCCACCTCAGGGACTTGGCACCTATTCATCCCTCCTGCCAGCAGCATCCATCCCCCAGATCTTTGTGAGGTTGTCTCCTTCCATCCTTCATGTCTCACTCAGATGTCATCTGCTCAGAAAGCCGTTCCTGACTCCCCCAGCTAATGTGGCCACCACCACACCTCGGGAGACCATCCTCATCTTTTTGGTGTCTGTTCCTCATCGTACCTGTTACCTACACCCATTCATTTATTTATATGCTTACCATCTGTTTCCTCTCCTAGAGTGTAAGCTCTATGAGGGCAGGGATTTTGCTTATCTTGTTCCCATATTGTTCCTAGAACCTAGAACAGGGCCTGGTACATCAGAAATAAAAACTGTGTGTTGAATGAATGAAGTTAGAGAAGAAGACATCCTAAGCACGCACACTGCACAGGAGCCTAGAAAGAATTGCTCAAAAGGAGAAAAGGAGAGACCTTTTTAGGATACCTCAAGAGGTCATAAGATCTCAGGGAAAGGAAAGAGGCAAGTGGCACTGACGCCGGGGGTTGTCTGAATACAATTGCAGAGACCACGGGAAATTGTCAGACTTAAGATTCTGAGCATAAAGTGTAAAACTCCATTTCAGCAAGTTAGGTATCTTATGGGTAATGCTAGTTCTATGTATGTAAATGGTGACAGTCACAGTGCTGCCTACGTGTGCTGCTCTTGTCCCCGCCCTCCAGACCATTTTAAAGGCCATGGGAAATTGTAGAAAAGGAGATGGAGTGTTAGGAGCCAGCAGCCCACATGTAAGAAGCAGTCAGATTAGGGCTTCTGAGACCCAGAAAGCAAGTGATGTGTCACAGCCCCCTGAAGAAAAAGGTGACCCAGTCTCCAGGGTGGGAGGAACATGCCATTTGGGTGACCGCAGGCTCAAGCAGGAAACAATACAAAGCTTGCGAAAGATTTGAGAAATAGAAACAGGGGGAACCAAAACAAAGTCTTAAACTCTGAACAAAGGGCAGCTGTCAACTTTTGATTTATATGGAGTAAAAGGTGCTAAAGTCAAATCTCAAGAGGCCATTTAAGAATCATTTTCCTCTCCTTCACCACGTGAAACTAAGAAACCAGGCTCTGCTGAAGCAGGAAAAGTAGAGGCCGGTTAAGAGCACAGGCTTTGGGACGGAGAGCCGTGCACTCTGCCTGCCACTCGCTGCCCACAGGTACTTGACTGCCCTGTGTCAGTGTCCGAGCGCCTATCTCAGGAGATTACAGGAGGGTAAGAGGAGAATGAGGTGGCGCGCCTCGCACGGTGCCTGGAACTATGGTTACAGGCAGTTTTGATGGCCACACCTGCTCTGCTCAAGCTTCCCCAAGTGGTTCGGGGTGAGAGATGCCAGGGTGCGGCCCTGGGCTGCCCGCTGCAGGCCTGCTGTGCCTGGTGCGAAGGCCAGCCTCCGAGCCCTTCCCCTCTGGCTGCAGACGCTGCAGAATGAGATCCTGGGCCATGCACCGCGGGTGGAGGATGTGCTGCGGAGAGGGCAGCGGCTGGTGGAGGCGGCCGAGATCGACTGCCAGGACATCGAGGAGCGCCTGAGGCACCTGCAGGGCTCGTGGGGCACGCTGCAGGAGGCGGCGGCCGGGCGGCTGCAGCGCCTGCGGGAGGCCAGCGAGGCACAGCAGTACTACCTGGACGCGGAGGAGGCCGAGGCCTGGATCAGCGAGCAGGAGCTCTATGTCATCTCCAAAGAGACCTCCGAGGTTGGCTCGGGCAGGGGGTACCAGGCTGGGTGCCAAGATCAACTGAGAGGGAGAGCTGGGGGTGGGCAGCCGGTGGGGGGAAGCTGTGAGGCCAGGTGTGTGAGGAGTGAGGGCTTGGGGCAGGTATATGAGGATTCTGTGCAGATGAACTGCTGTGGGAGGGGCAGAGAGGTTAGGTGGAGGGGTCTCTAAAAGCTGGGATGATTCTGGAAGTTTTCATGAGGACAGAGGTTGGACCTGAGTCTGAAAGGATGGATGTCAGATAAGAATGAGGGCGTTGAGAGGAAGGTAGGATGTGGGCGTTGCTGGGAAACGGGAGTAGCAGGAAGGGACATGCACATTTCCCCGAAGGGTGTTCCACGAGGCTGGCTCTCCCCCGTCTTGGGCACCTCCAGGAGCTGGGCTGTCCCCTGGGCCAGGTGAGCTCACACCCTGACAGTCTGCTGCCTCCTAGGATGAAGAGGGTGCCATCGTGATGCTGAAGCGGCACTTGCGGCAGCAGCGCGCGGTGGAGGAGTACGGGAGGAACATCAAGCAGCTGGCCGGCCGGGCCCAGGGCCTGCTGTCTGCCGGCCACCCTGAGGGGTGCGTGTGCCTCCTGGGGTGACTGGACCAGATCATGAACACCAGGCCAGGGGCCCCACCAACTAGAATCCCTTCAGGTCCAAGTGGGAAAACAGAAGCAGTTTTCCCAAAACCATGGGTTTGAGAAAACTGCTTTCTGGACTGCTGACTGGCACAGTTTCTTTTTCTGTCATGGTTTTGTGTGAGTAACTTCAAACAGGGCTGACCGAGGCCTCATTTGCAAAAAGATCAGGAAGTGGAATAGCAAAACTATCCTCTTGGTGAACAGGGAATTCCAATCTTTTGAGGAGTTAGTCTTCAGTTTCTCTTAGCATAGTCTAATTTTGCTTTTCTTTTTGTGGTCCAGAAGGTACCTCAGAATCTCACACTGTCTGAGCAAAATCATTACATAGGAGCAAAGGTAGAGAACCTGTACTCATCTAAACTGTTCAGTTATGTAGGTTCTGCATAAATGCAAGCCCATTGGACCAGACACTGCAGGCTGCCCCCAGTCCTCAGTTGCCTTTAGGGCATCCACAGCAGTCACCCCAGCATCTCCCAAGGAGCCCGAAGGAATGAGCCTCTGGTACTACACATCCCTTCCTGAAGAGCTAGGCAGGGCCTGCTGCTGGTGGAGCCTGGCTCAGACAGCCCGCCTTCCTCCTTCGAAGAATAGTGGAGAAGTTCTCCATTTTCACTTGTCTCTCTGAGCTTCCCAGAGTGAGAGGCAGGAGCAGAAGGCACCCCCTCCAGGAGAGCACATTTTGTCATCCCCTGAAGCATCACAGTCTAAGAGATGGTTCCTTTTCTCTTCAACTCTTCCCCACAAAAAGTCACTACCATTTCTCCAAAGCTGCACTTCGCCACCCATCCCTGCCAAGTGGCTGGGGAGGAGGAGGTTGGCTCCTCCGAGCTGGCCTCCCTGGGTTCTCTGTTACTGGCTCTGAGGGCTTTCTTGCTTTGAATTCCAGGGAACAGATCATCAGACTTCAGGGGCGAGTGGACAAGCAGTATGCAGGGCTGAAGGACATGGCAGAGGAGCGCAAGCGGGAGCTGGAGAACCAGTACCACCTCTTCCAGCTGAGGAGGGAGACAGATGACCTGGAGCAGTGGATCGCAGAGAAGGAGCGGGTGGCCTCTTCTCCAGAAATGGGGCAAGACTTTGACCACGTGACTGTGAGTACCCATGGCCACTGCTTGTTTGTCTTCTGTCATTACGTGCCGTGCGCGCGCACACACACACACACACACACCCCTGCCAGACACAAAGTGCCACAGAGATGTGGGCATCCCCAGTGTGAGCTCAGGCACCCTGGGGAAGGTGTGAGAGCCTGACAAGTGCCACCTGGGTGAGTTGGCAGCTAGTGTATGACACCACCGCACCCCTGAGCCTCGATAACCGATTACCAGGTTTCTGTCTATCCCCATCCAGCTGCTCCGGGACAAGTTCCGGGACTTTGCTCGGGAGACTGGGGCGATTGGGCAGGAGCGGGTGGACAACGTGAATGCCATCATCGAGCGGCTCATCGATGCAGGCCATGCAGAGGCGGCCACCATCGCCGAGTGGAAGGACGGGCTGAACGAGATGTGGGCAGACCTGCTGGAGCTCATCGACACGCGCATGCAGCTGCTGGCCGCCTCCTACGACCTGCACCGCTACTTCTACACCGGCGCCGAGATCCTGGGCCTCATCGAGGAGAAGCACCGCGAGCTGCCCGAGGACGTGGGGCTGGATGCCAGCACCGCCGAGTCCTTCCACCGCGTGCACACGGCCTTCGAGCGGGAGCTCCACCTGCTGGGCGTACAGGTGCCTTCTGTCCCTCCCCGGCTCTCCCTCCACATCTTCCCCGTGACCAGCTTCCTGGGGACCCCTCCTGGCTTCTAGAGGGGAAACCTCTGAACAGGCACCTCCTTAGAGAGGCAACAGCTCAGGGCAGGAAGGCAAGGAGCAGAGGTTTTCAGACATCCTTTAGCTTCAGAACCAGTTTTTTGAACCTTTCCCAAAATCCAGTGCAAAAATACCTTAAAATGCAATTTCTTTGGTTATCAAAGCTTTACAGTATAATAAGCAAATACACATGGAGTGCTTTTCTAGCACCAGATATTGTTCTAAACAATATATGTGGTCACTGAATCCTCAGCCACCCTCTGAGAAAGGGAATAATATTGTTTGCTTTTTCTAGATGAGGAAAGTAAGGCATGGAAGGGTAAATAAGTTGCCCAAGAACTTGCAGCTAGGCAGTGGTGCAGGATTCAGATCCTGACAGTCTGGCTATAGATTCCACCAGGCTGTTTAGCCTTTCCATGTGGGAGCTGGAGGGGGCCCCAAGAACTGCCTAGTCTCCCTTTTCCCATCATGGGGTGCCCCCTGAGACACCCCCACAGGCCCCATAGGGTTCTGCAGAGTTTAGTGTGATAGAAAGAGTAAGGGCGAGGGGCTCAGCTGCTAGGGGCTCACCGGGCTTCCAGTGGAGCAGGGAGAGATGGGCAGGGCTGTGCGTCCTGCACTGACCCAGCAGGGTTTAGGAAAAGAACACCAAAGTAGATTGTGCCCCTGGTTCACCGGAGAGGAACACCGGAGATTGTGCCCCTGGTTCACTAGGAGGGGACCGCCTAGGGATTTGTCCTCCAGCTGAAGGTGCCTTGGGGGTGCCAGAGCCCCTGAGACAGGTGCAGCCCCAGCAAGGTCTCAGGAATGAGGCTTTGCTGCCCTGCAGCCGGCCTCAAACAGGAGGCAGCAGCATGCAGAGTGGTTACGAACAGGGAGTCAGGGGCACGCCTCCAGTCCCAGCTGCACCGTCTCAGAGGTGAGTGGCCTCGGGTCAGTCACTTAGCCTCACTGTGCCTCATTTTCCTCATTTCAGAAACAGGGATGAATACAGTTCTTTTTCATGGAGTTGTTGTAAAGATGAAGAGAGTAATAAACATCAAGTGTTCAGAACAGTACCTGGTATATAGTTACCCTTATCATTGTACATCAAAGGGTACAGAGCCCCCCTCACTCCCAAATTCTCATCAGAGCCCAAGGAGTGCTATGGGTCGACAGAGGTGCCAAAGCAAGGAGCCTTCTCTCCGGCCCCCAGTGGATGGGAGCTGAGGATCCTGCTTCCAGCAGCACCCTAGGGAAGAAGGCCAGGAGGAGGCAGACACCTTCGCCTACCCTAGGCCCAAGATGTGTCTGCCCGGGGAGCAACATCCAGTTTTGCCCCTTCACAGGTACAGCAGTTCCAGGACGTGGCCGCCCGCCTGCAGATGGCGTATGCTGGGGAGAAGGCAGACACCATCCAGAACAAGGAGCAGGAGGTATCTGCTGCGTGGCAGGCGCTGCTCGATGCCTGTGCCGGGCGCCGCACCCAGCTGGTGGACACAGCGGACAAATTCCGCTTCTTCAGCATGGTCCGAGACCTCCTCTCCTGGATGGAAAGCATCATCCGGCAGATCGAGACCCAGGAGAGGCCCAGGTGAGGGGAGGGACATCCTCAAGGCAGCCCCACTCCTGGCCCACTTTGTCCCAGAGGCTGGCAGACCAAGGCCTGGCACTGGGGGTCCTCCCTGGAGACATAGTCTTGGATGGTGGGTGCGTTGGAATCCCCAAGGGGCACCCAAGGCTGGGTCCAGGCAGAATCTGAGTGGTTCAGCTGCTACTAAGAGGACCAACCATTTCAAAGTAAAGAAGTAGGGAGGGTATAACTCAAGTGGTAGAGTGCATGAGGTCCTGGGTTCAATCCCCAGTACCTCCTCTAAGAATAAATAAACCTAATTACCTCCCCTCCACCAAAAAAATTAAGAAAAAAAAGTAAAGGGAGTCCTGAAAGTGACATCTCTCGTTCAGGTTGATGAGAGGGGCAGTGGCCACAACTGGTGGTGAAAATAAGCAGTTTACACATCCAACACTGGTCAGGCCCGGAAGGGGTCACTCTTCCCCCAGCATGGGCACAAGGGGGCCATTCTCTAAAACTCAGGGAGGAGCTCAAGCTCATTGCCCATGAGAGGTGGAGGCAGGCACGTGGGCAGGGATCAGAGTCCACTTTGTGTCACAGTAGCAATTACTACTGGCCCATCCCTGTCCCTCTGCCTGTCATGGTGATCAGGCTTTGATATTTAACATCTTTATTGAGCTGTAGTTTACATACCATACAATCCAGCCATTTAAATATACCATTCAGTTGTTTTTTGCATAGTCACGGTTGTACAACCATCACTACAATGTAAGTTAGAAGATTTTCATCATTGCAAAAAGAAACTCTGTACCCCTCAGCAGTAATCATCCCCGACTTGCCTCTCTTCCCAGCCCCTGGCAACCAGTAATCTGCTCTCTGTCTCTAAATTTGCCTATTGTAGTCTTTTCATATGAGTGAAATCATAAAATACGTGGTCCTTTGTAACTGGCTTCTTTCACTTAGCACAATCTTTCCAAGATTCATCTACGCTGTAGTATATGTCAGTACTTTGCTCCTTTTTGTTGCCAAATTTAACATTCTCAGGCTTCTTTTGCGGTCCCTGCACCACCTGCCCATGCCCTGGCCGCAGACTAAGGGAGGACACTAGACCATCAGTGTTCTTGCTAAGGCCTGGCTACTGGCAGAGGACTGACTTCCTGGCTGGCCGGAGAGAGAGGAGGGAGTCGGGTCAGACTTCCAGGCAGGTGGGGGGCAGGAGATTCTGACTGGGACTTGGTGTCAGATGGGCCAGAGTAGGCCAGAGTCACCCAGAGTTTCCTTTTTCCCCAAACTCTCTCCCCTGCCTCCCTGTCCCCCTGTCGTCCAGGGACGTCTCCTCAGTGGAACTACTCAAGAAGTATCACCAGGGTATCCGGGCAGAGATAGAAACCCGGAGCAAGAACTTCAGTGCCTGCCTGGAGCTTGGAGAGTCCCTGCAGCAGCGGCAGCACCAGGCCTCGGACGAGGTGGGAAGGACAGCGGGGCAGAGATAGACCCTCTCCATGTCCTCGCCTTCACTTCTGCTTGTTGGGAACGAACCTGTGGGCCATGGCTTTTCCTAGGAGGCTCATCTTTCACCCATGAGGCCTCAGGGCAATGTGCAGGCCCAGAGATTATAGCCATGCTAAACCTATTCGAGGAGCTGGCCACTTTGTAGGGAGAGCAGGCTCATAACCCACCTAACCCCCACAGGTATGCATGCTTTGGGACTGGCAACACCTGCTTGCTGGGTAAGGCACATTTTAACCTCAGAGAGGTTAAGTAGCTTGCCCAAGGCTGCACAGTGGTAAGTCACAGAGCTAAGATTTGAAGCCAGGTCTGTGTGACCAAGCCCAACAGGCTTTTCAGATCCCCTCCAAGCATCATCTCAAACCGGGGGAAGGGTTACTAAACCCTGAGCCATCTTCTCTTCCTGCAGATCAGTGAGAAACTGCAGCAGGTTGTGTCCAGGAGGAAGGAGATGATGGAGAAATGGGAGGCCCGCTTTGAGCATCTCAATATGTGTGAGTGCAGCCTGGGAGCCAGGAAACCCTGGGTGGGGTGGGGGGCAAGAAGGAGGGGTGATGTCACATCATGGTGGGTTTTCCCCACTGTTAGAGAAGAGCCCCCCACAGCACCACTCATCAGCAAAGATCGGGACCAAGGGCCTCGGGGCCCTGCAGAGAAGACCCAGTAGACACACGGCTGGAAGCCCACCTCTGGCCAGCTAGCACCCCTCCCTGCCCACCCTCCGCCTCACCTACCCCCTGCCTCCCACTAGGCTGGTGTCCCTGTAGAGCTAGGCCTCCCAAGGGATCAGGGTAAGGCTCTGGTGCATCTCAGATGTCTGATTTGAGGAGTGTGGGGCACAGAAGGAACTCTGTCCTCCACAGCTGGAGACAGGAGCGGTGGAGAAATCCCACCACTCAGGTAGGAGCTACAAGCCATGAAGACCTGGTTGCCCCATGGCTGCTTGTGCATGTGATAGCCAAGGGCTGGGAAGAGGGCACTCCAGGCAGAACTGTCCCTCAAGTGGAGTTGTCTAAACTGCATTCATTTCAAAGCAGAGTTTGTCCTGATGCGGTTTTAAACTATCACTGTCAATGGAGATGACGCAGGGGCTCCGTGTGGAGATGGGGTGGCTTCAGGTAGCAGGTCACCACTGAGCAGGGTGTCCATCCACGGTTCCGAGACACCGGTGAGAGCCTCCTGCCTGGCCGCCAGCTCTGTGTCTGTGAGCGGCCCCAGGGTCTGGGCAGGAGTGGACTGCTGGGCGCTGAGAGACCCCTGAGCCTTGCGGGTGGGTCTGTGGCTTGTTCTCCGTGGCAGTGCTGGAAGTGTGCCAGTTCTCTCGGGACGCCTCTGCGGCCGAAGCATGGCTGATCGCCCACGAGCCCTACCTGGCCAGCCAGGACTTTGGACACACAGTGGACACTGTAGAAAAGCTTATCAAGAAGCATGAGGATTTTGAGAAATTCACAGCGGCCAGCTGGGAAGAGCGCTTCGCTGCCCTGGAGAAGCCCACCACGGTGAGCTGGGAGGCTCGGGCGGCAGGCAGCCTCGCCTTGAGATTACATGAAGTCAAAACCTCTTAGGCAGTTATAAGGCACCTGCAGACAGGGTAAAAGGCTGAGCGATGGAGGAGAGTGGGAAGGAAGTGGAAGTGGGAGAAAGTACTGACTTTTGAACACAAAAGACAAAGGGGGATAATACCAAAAGGAACAAACACCAGGTGTGTCAGGTACAGGGAGCCTCTTTCGAGAAAGGTTGAGAGCAGGTTCCCCTCTGGCTTCTCTGACCACCCCCACCCCTCCACCATTTCCTCCCCTAGCTTGAGCTCAAAGAACGCCAGGCCCCAGAGAGATCCAAGAAGGAGACTACTGGGTAAGTGCGGGGAGGACTTGGCCTGAGCCCTGTGCCGGGGGTTGTGGGGTGGGGAACGGGTGAGATGGAGGAGGAGGGTGCTTTTCATCAGAAGCAGGCCCCCTGATGTTTTAATAATCCACATGTGACTTCTCACACCTGGGCCACGAGTCAGAGAAATCCAGAATGTCTGGAAGGAGCTGAAAGGGAGAGAAGAGCTTTCATTTCCCCCAAGTCCTGGTGGCAGGCAGACCTGGTGTGGGATGAAACGTGTGGAGGGCGGTGGCTTTTGCAGCACCGCCCCCGCCTCCCCGCTCTGGGAACCCATTGAACATGTGCCCTGGAGGCCATTCTGCACGGAACCGTGTCCATTCCTGAAGCATCTGCCTTAACTTTCAGGTGCAGGCAGACTGAGCAGCCCTTTATGCCAGGCTGCAGACTCGGCTTGTGTTCCCTGGGGAGGAGGTGGGAAGTCAGGCCTGGAGGTAGGCTCCAGCCTCTGAGAGGTGCTTGTTTCTAAAGCAGGGCTGTGTCTTCCGTAGGCCTCAAGAGGAGGAAAGCGAGACAGCAGGGGAGGGTCCCCGAGGTCCCCATCGACCAGCCACCAAGACACCGTCCCTGGTCAGTTTCCCTGTCTCATTTGTCTAGTTCCTGAGACACGGGGCTGCCAAAGCCCGCTACTCCCTAGTAGGCTCAGCAGGGGCAGAAGGCTGCAGCGGGCACGTGCCGCCCCCACCCCCAGACTCCTTCCATCACTCTTCCTTTTTTCACTTAGCTTTTCTTAATTCCTAAAATAATTCCCCTCTTCCCTCCAACCCAGAAGAAACTGACATGCCAGCACACTGACATGACTCTCTTAGTTTGGTTTTATCTGGTCTAATAAATTTTATTGTAAAAATACATCACCATTTACATCAGGGGAACAGTTTATACAGGGAAGGATCCCTTTTATACACTTTCCCTCTAACACCATCCTTAACTCAGTACCCCCTACACACACACAGACAAATGGACCGTTTGGTCTCACCTGCCCCAGCCAAGCATTTAGGGCAGTGAAGTGGGGACCTTCACCATCTAGTAGATTCCTCCCTCCTAAGCAGAGCCCCCTCCCCCTTTGCACCTTCCTGGCCTGATGCCTATGGGTCAGTGAGTTGGAGATGGAGATGGAGCTGGTTCTGAGGTAAGAGCAGACTTGAAGGAGCCCTTCAGGAGTGAGGGCGAGCCCCAGGGCTTCTGGGTCACCAGCCTCCAACTTGTAGAAAAGAAGAGTGTGTGGGGGAGGAGAGGGAGGAACCCAGACACTCCCACTGCCAGAGGCCTGGGCACATGGCTTCAGGACCTTGCCTAGATTAGATCCCTTAGCTAAAAGGACCCAGGGGGCCTGTGCAGGGAGCCTGGGAGGCTGTGACCCAGGTTTGGGGGACATGTCCTGGGAGCGGCTGAGAAGAAAGCAATAATCCAGCATGTGCCTTGCATGGCTTGGCCACTGCCTGTGTACCACCTCTCCACGTGCCCAGGTGAGCTTGCCTGAACCTTTGAGGGTTCTAGGTGGAAATCTTTGGTACACAAACCACCCCAGAAAAATGGACAACACTGAGCAATTCCTGTGCAGAATCCTGTCAGATCTAGATTTCAGCCCTTCCCATACTTCTGAGACACACACACACACTCACACACTCACACACTCACTCACACACTCATTCACTCACACCCTGAGCTGCCTCCAGCCGTGCCAGAAACCTCCCTTTCTGAGCTGCACCAGCCCTTCATGTCCAGCAGAGGGCATTCCTGGGCTCCTGCTGGAGGGTCTCTCTCAAGAGTTCCCTCTGAAGTTACCATCATCGCATGTGGGGGTCTCTGGGGGACTTCCCCTTGGTCTGGTTTTCTCAGAGACAGCCCCCACTGGAAGGAGAGAACTCTGGGGGCTGGCACAGACTGTGGACACCAGGGCTGGAACTGTCCTTGCCACCTGCGCTTCGGCTGTGCGTCCCTATGTGTCTGCGTGCAGTGGTGTCCGAGGTCCATGGGTTCCTTTGTGACCGCCTGAGTGATCCATCCAGTGTTTGTGTCATGTACGTCTGTGCAAATGTAATTACATGTGCATCAGAGCCGCCCACATCTGACACCCGAATGTCACTGGGTTTGGGGGAATAAAACCTGCTTGGACCTGAGTGTCTCTCTGGAAGGAGGGAGTGAGCCCACATTTGAGACACTTCCCAGAGAGCCAGCCACTGTGTCACATGGGGAAACTGACCTGTGCTGGGTCCCAGGAAGAAACCAGATGACGAATCAAATGAACACCAGGCCCGAGGCCTCATGGAAACTGACTGCTTCTTCCTGCTGCTCCTTTCCAAGCCCTTTGTTGAGTTGTGAGGATCCACGAAACTCCGAGGGAGGGCGGGATACCTAATTGGTCTTTGATACGAGAAGAAAGGAGAATGGGTCCCACGCAGGTTGGGAAACCTTTACAAAAACCACAGGCCTCTCTGAGGAAGGCCAGCCGTCTGCTGAGCCTTCTCCCTGGGGTAGGCCTGGGTCTGGTGGCTCTCCTGCTGTCCCGTGTGTGTGGTCTGGTGTTGGTGCTCTATAGAATAGATCTGTGTGCTGTGGCTTCACGTGGAATCCATCACTAGTGCATGCCAGCTTCCTGCTTGGGGGAGCAGACAGAAGTGGACCAGATGCCTGAGCCCGTCTGGACCGCTGCACAGCACGGGGCTGCCACCCTGCCAGCCCTGCCTGGTTCTCCCCTTCCCGGGTCTGTGTGCACACTCAGGGACTGGAGTCCCAGTCCACGCATCTGGCTTTTCCGCAAGCACACCTTTGTATAATCCATTGCCTCTATCACCTCTTAACCTTTCTCTTACCTTTCCACATTAGAGCATGTTCTGGTTAAAAAAACCAAAACATATATATATCTCCATTATACAGGTAAGTGGGTAAAAGTGCATGAGGCCAAGCAGAAGAAACAAGGGATCACAAATGGCAAAACTCCTGGAGTGGAAGTCAGGACATTGGGTTCTTGTCCTTAATTCTGAAAAGTTCCTGCATGACTTTAGACAAACCACCTAATCCTCCAGGGTCTCTTTGCCCTTAAAACGCTCTCTCTGCCAGATCACAAAAAGTCCAGAACGTTCTGTTGTGAACAATGTACCTACATAAAGGAGGGAGGCTGGGAGAGGTGGGTCTCCCCACTTTCATCCCGTCCTCAGCTGTAAGGAACCTGGTTCTGGAGTAAGGCGCCAGCTGGTGTGAGGCTGGAGATGGGAAAGAGGTGGTAAAGGGCCGAGGTGTTTCCTTTGTGTCTGTCTGGGGAAGAGAGGACAGCAGGGTTAGACCTCTGTTCCTGCCACGGCCAGTGCCCTGAAGATGGCCCCAGGGTATGGGAGGGGGCCTGGCAGCAGGCTGGGCCCTTCCCCTCCCCTCACCCCTCAGCCTCCACCCTGCGTCTCCCCATCATCCTGGGTGTGGCTCTGGGGAGGGCTTGGAGGTCCTGCACAGCATCCTCATCTTCTAGGCTCTGGGAGCTCAGAATCCTCGGTGTAACACTTGCGGTGAGATCCTGATTGTTGAGATGCCGAGGCTGACTTCATGGAGAACAAATGGTGTTGCAGAGGATCCCCCCAGCCAGTGGCCCCGGGACATCTGTGCACCGTGCCTGTTTCCTGGCCTCTAGTGGGAGCTCTCCCAGCGGGGCTGCTGTGATGATGAGAGTGACGCTCCCGAAAGGGACTGGTGCTCCGAGGGGCTGTGACAACAAGAAAGAGTCTGTCTTCCGGGCTCACGTCTTCCTCCAAGCCTCAAGGCTAGATTTCCCTGTGAGGCAGGGACTCTGGGGTGAGACCAACTGCCTGAGTGCCGTTCATGGTCAGGCCTTCATCAGGTTGTCAGGGAGAACTTACCAAGCGCAGCTCACAGACGTCACTCTTCCCTTGACCTTTCAAGACTGCCAGGAGCTGGCTTCCCTGAGAGAGGACTGGGCATCTCATGATGGGTGAACAGGGGGAGTCCAGACGCCTGGGCCCCTTGTCTCTCCCTTCCAGAGTCTTAGAGGTTGATGTGACTTCAGGAAAGTAACCAGTGCTTGTGAATGTGATGGATGGTGCCCCAGGGCTGAGAGGGTACTGGGCTATGGCCAGGTCACCTTTCAGCCAGTGCCTGCTGGCTGCTGCTGCTGTCACCTCCTTGTCACCTGCCCCCAGCAGCAGTCTCCCCACCAGGAAGCCTGCAGCTTTCGTCGGCCACCAGAGGCTGGGCTCTGATGTCCTTGAGGGGAAGGGGTGTGGGTGTGGAGGCAGCAGCTGTGTTTCTTCTTGCCTGAGCAGGCTTTCCCAGTCCTTCCTCCCCTCCCCCTGTGAGGCCGAACCGAGCTGCTGGTTCAGGCATTTTGCAGTGAAGGCACATCATGTGTTTGTCCATAATGAGTAGATCTGGCCTGGAAAGAACGTCAGTTTTCCCCTGAACCTGGGCGTGTCTGTCTCCCCAGGATGCCTGAATCAGCATGGCAGGGCTGTGTCTGCCTACAGTCTGGCACCGCACCCTGGTACTCCAGGCTCCCTGGAGAAACTGGCTGTACGCTCTTTCTGGACATCTGTCCACCGCTGGGTGTGCCCAGTTCTCTGTGCTATGGTCCGACTGATCTTCCTGGCCCCGCTGCTCCAAAGGCTCCTTAGTTTGTCCTCGAAGTATTGTTTCAGAGCATCCTAGACACTGATAGACCCAGGATGGGACTCAGTTAACATCGGAGGCATCTCAGAAATGGGGTTTGAAGCTGCTAGCTTGACCGCTGGGTGTCAGATCTGGATGAGGGAGTCGGTGTCTTCTCTTTTTAGTCTAGTTCTGAGTGGCTGGCTCAGAGTCACCAAGAGATCAAGCAGCCGCCAGCTCCTCCAGGGCAGGGACCCAAGGAGCCCAAGCCAGTGGTGGGAATGGCGAAGAAGTTCCTGATGCTGTGGACCAGGTCTCCCCTCCCTGTCCCAGGGGACCCTGCACACTCCCCTCTCCTTTCCCCCTCACTTTACCTGGTGACTCTGCACCTGCTCTTGTTGTCTCCCCTGGTTCCCCCGGGGGTCATCTCAGCTGGGTCTCAGTTGGCCCCTGGGGCACAGTGCTGAGCCACTCTCCCCACCCCACCACCAACCCTGGGGGACCCTTCACTGCTCCAGCCTCAGCTCCTCCCTCACTCTTTCCTCTGTTCAGCAACAACTTCTGTTTTCTCTTTAGTCGTCTGTCTCTGCTCACCCTAAGTTGCCATCTCTTCATCTCTTTGACTGCTCTCAACTCAGTGAACCATCTCTTTGTCTTCTCTTGCAAACAGCTATCTTCTGAGCAGCCTTCCCTACCTGTCTGCTGACAGCCCATCTCACCCAGAGGGTGAGAGCCCAGACATCAGATGCTGGATGGAAGGAAATAGTTCTCAGCTGCAGAGACGGCCAGCTTCCCCCACCCCACAGTCTCAAAGGGCTATTTGGTTGGCCATTCAGCAACAGTTTGGCCTCAAGCTCCTCTTCTGACCCCTTTCACGGGTGGCTCTGCCATGATCGTGCTGCCTCAGCCAGTCAGCCACATGTCTCACATAAGCCAGACTCATCCCATTTAGACCGTGAACCCCATAGGATAGGCCCCTCTCTATGGAGCAGTGGTACCACCCCTTCTCTTGCAGCAGGGTTTAGAAGGAAGAGCAGAGTCTGGAACCAGACAGATTTGCATCTGCAACTCGCCATTCACTAACTGTGACTGGGGGCGAGTTACTTAATTCTCCCGGTCCCTCAGTTTCCCTTATCTGTAAAATAGGGATAGTGATACCTGCCTCGCAGAAAGGGCATGAGGATAGGAAAAAAAGAATGTAGGTGGAAGATCTGGCGCCCAGTAATTGATAACGTCTTCAATTTTTTTCCCTTCATCCTTCACTGCAGTCTTTCATCTTAAAATAAACACTCTCCATATGAATTCTAATATCCATTGCCAAAACTCTCCCAAACCACTCTTCCTGGAGTGCCCCTCTCTGGAGGCCCCCTTTGCACACACTCTGGGCTCAGTCCTTGTTGCCAGGTAGGTGGACAAGATCATCGTATGTCTGTGCTCAGTCTCTGGGGTGCGTCAACATGCCCTGGTTCTCATTTATCAGCATGTCCTTTAGAGAGAAGCTCATTTGTGTTTCCTTGTTTGTTAATGTATCTGCGTTCACTGAGCATCTTCTAGAACCTCCAAAAGACCCTTTGGTCACACACCAGGTTATTTTCTCCTGGGAGCTGGAGAGATAGTTGTTTGTGAGCTGTCCCTCTGCGCCACCTGCTGGCTGGGCCTGGAAATACACCTTCAACACCTTTAGTCCAGGTAAGAAATGTACCCATCCTGCCCCTCTTCCCTTCACTTTCTTAAACCTCCTTTGGGGAGAAGACCTCTGCCTGTTTCCCCTACCCAAGCTAGTTTCCTAGCAAGGCAGGACTCTAAAAAGTCAAGCTTATGAGACTCTGCAAAGACTCTGAGGTGGCTATCTCCTGTCCGTTTAACTACAATCCTGTAAGGCTCTCTTGTCTGTCTTCCCTCCCCTGATGCCACCCCCCCCCACCCGGGCAGCCAGTACTGCCTGTCCCCTGCCCTTCTCTGACATTGTGATCGAGGTAGTCTGCACACACACACCCACGTGTCCCCCAAACCAGAGAACCTGGCTCCGTGCTTATTCCAGGCCCTGTCCCTGGGCCATTCTCTCTCCTGCTGTCACTCGAGCCACTTATGGTCAAGTCTCTCTAGCAGTCCCAGCCTGACACCCAGAATTTCCTCCAAGTATCTGGATCTTCCTTTATTCAGAGTGTCCCCCCTGCTCCTCTGGGTGATGGTTGTAGGCTGGGCACCCCTCGGCAGTGTAGGTATAATCCATGCGGCTTCCTGATGGCCTGAGGGCAAAAGCAGCAAGGCATCTGCAGGACAGCAAAGAGGCAAGAAGGCAGTCTTAGCTTATCTCAGCTACTCAGGGCCTTTTGGCAGAACCTGCCTGTCCCTGCAGCCAGCATCCCCTCCTGGTGCTCTGCTGTCCACAGTTCCCTCCACCTGTCGGGCAGGGCAGGATCTGTATCAGAGCATGGTATGGTTCCAGGGACTGCCCCTCCTTCCCCAGCCGTGACCCCTCCCAGCTCTCTTAGAAGATGCCACAAAGCATATTTACCCCTGAGGCCTATACAACAGGGCCTTTTTCCCCAAACCATACCCCTGTCTTTCTCCTCTGTGTCCCCTCTCCCAGCCCAGGAGGGAGAAAAGCCCTGCCAGCCCTGGGCCTGGGAGAAGCAACTGCCACCAAACACCCCCACCTCCCACCCTCTTTCTTGGCTCCTTCTCCTCAGGCCTCGGCCCTCAGGGGAGAGGGGAGACGGTACATTGTAAATTGTCTCCACGTGAACAGTCAAGAGCACAGAAGAGATCTATGTATACATTGAAAACTCCCATTTTCCAGAGCCAAACCATGACCTGGCCATTTAACTTTTGATTACACTGGTCTTGGCCTCTGAATGTCCCAGCCAGGGAATGTGGGTTAGGTGCCCATGAGGAGGAGGCAGAAGAAAGGTGAGATTAAGTTGGGAGGCAGTCCTGGAAAACTCCACCTGTATTTTCAGGGGAGAGTTCCTGAAAGGAAGAAGCATGAAAATGGAAGTGAAGAAAGAATATGTTCACACAGTCCTCTAGGAAAACCATTCCCAGGAAGATAGAGGCTGAGTGAGATGGTCGAACATAGCTGCCCAGCATCTGCTGCAGCATCTTCCCGGAGGCCCCAGGGCGGGTGCCAGGAGGAGCAGCACAGCCAGAGAGGAGGGACATGAAAGGAGGCTTCACTTTCTGCCTTGACAGTCTACCTCCCCCACCTTTATGCCCCAGTCAGAGGGTTGGCCTGATTGGGTCCACAGAAGGACCCCAAAGCCAGGCTTCCAGACCCACTCTGCCCTTTCTGCCCTTCCTCCCTGCTGGAGGATGATCTAGGCTGGGCTGTGGAGCCTCCAGATCCTTGTGGTCAATTCTGGCTCATTGCTGACACTCAAAGATTTAAATACGGCAAGATGGATAAAGACAGATGTGGCCCAGCCACAACTCTCAAGGGGCTCCAAGACAGGAAAAGATGAGAACCCTAAAGATGGGCTAAAATCGCAGGACTATCCAATTCTGAAGTACATGCTCTTAATTGTCTCTGTTATCTATTGGCTGTGTGACCTTGGGTAAGTCTCTTAACCTCTCTGAGCATAGATTTTCTCATTGATTGAAGGTTTAGACTAGGGGTAGTGGTTTTCAAACTTTCCCAGCCATATTATCCTTTCTTTAAGTGAGATCTTATGGGAACCCAACATAACTGTTTATTGAACAGTCCTAGTTTGATGGGATGCAAACATGACCAGCTTTACCTTTCTTCCAACCACTGCTTTCAAACGTCTCCATTGAGCTTCCCTTCCCATTTCTTAGTGCCATCTCAGGCAACCCTTGGTCCTGTTAGCTGTTTGAAAGTCTAACCCATCTGTTTCAGTTTGAAACTTCACTCTGATGTCCAGTATGGAGCCCACATCCTCCCATTCCCCGTTTCTCTATTATCTTGGGTTTAAGGATCCACAAGGTGGAGCACAGGGTCTGCTTTTTTCTGGCTCCTCTCCAACACTTCTGGGCCTCCATCTTCAGTTGGGGCAGGGAGTAGAAAAGGGGGCAGTCTCTTTACTGCCTTAGCAGCTTTGGTCCTCCTGGGCTGTCAGTGCCCTTGGTCCTTCAGGTGTCCAGACAACACCTGCTTGGGGGCCTCTAGGACCCTTCCCACCTGGTGCTGTAATGTCTCCAGCAGTCAGGCCTTTGAGACAGAGTTCTGGGTCTCCAGTAGGCTGCCTTCCTTGGTGCTCATTTGGCCCATGGGAGACCCACCCATTCTTGCTCCAGCCAGCATTCTTGCACTGCACCTGGAGGCTAGCTGACCCAATCTGTTGTGCCCTCTCTTCTGCTGCAGGAGGCAAGAGGGTGAATAAGCAAGAAGGTACCCAGTTGGGGAACGGGAGGTCTGCTTCTGCCTCTCATGGGCACCTGACAATACAGCACGTGGCTTCACTGGAGGCCCCTCACTTGGCTTGGGCAAGGGCTGGGAGCATCCCACTCTCCACAGGGAAGTGCAAGGAGGTGAAAGTCGCAGGCCTTCCCTGTGGCAGAGACTCCTTAGGTGGTGGTTTGCCACCCCTGCAGCACACTAGAGTGCATGAAAAGCTTATTAAGAGATACCAATGTGCTGACCCCACTCCAGGCCAGTTAACACAGCATCCTAAGGATGGGTCTTAGGCATATAGTGTTAAAGCTCCTGAGATGATTGAAACAAGCAATGTCCTTCAGCATATCCCTGCCAGATGACGAGGCAGGAGCAGTTAGTCCTGCACCATGACCCGGGAGGGCCTGGGTCTCCCTTTAATTTCCATATTGTTATTTCTGCATTGTTTCTAACTTCTTTTGTGGAGGTACTGGGATTGAAGCCAGGATCTCATGCATGCTAAGCATGTGCTGTACCACTGAGCTATACCCATCCCCTGGGCCTCCCTTTAGAAGGTGGTAGGGGAGACTTAGGGCCTGGTGCCCTTAGCTTTGGGTTTTTAGACACAATTGGAAGGTACCAGAAGAGTTTCCATACCACATCGTAGTACAAATGTTTTCCAAACCTGTCTTAGAAGCAGAACCCTTTCTTCATTTGAAATCTGGCCAGAGCCCATGTGTACCTCAGTCGAAGTTGGAGTATCTGGCTGAAGCAGGAGTGGGGGCCTAGAGCTGGGCAGTGAGCAGTACCAGAAAGCCCCTGGGTGAGGTCCCCAGGCAGGCCCCTTCAGCTCACCCTCTGGGCCTCCTGTGGCTGTTAGACTGGAGATGGGGTACTGGGAATGGAGCCAGAGACCTGGGCAGGGTCTAAGGGAAGCAGGCAAGGTGGGTACCCACAGCAGGTGGAAAGAGGGCTGGGAGAGGCACAGGAGAAAGGAACCATACTCAGGTGGGACCTGCTGACTTCCCAGTTCTGCAGAGTAGCCACTCCTGGGTCTGAACCCCCAGCCAGGTGTGCTCCTCCCATGTGCCCCTGAACAGGGGGAAGAAGAGAGGCCGTGGCCTCAGGACCGGCAGCCGCCACCCCTGCCAGAGCTGCATGAGGAAGGGCAGGAGGAGAAATCCAGTGCAGATGAGAGGCCAGCCACAGAGCCCCTCTTCAAGGTCCTGGACACGCCTCTGAGTGAGGGCGACGAGCCTACAACACTGCCGGCCCCGCGGGACCACGCGCACAGCGTGCAGATGGAGGGCTACCTGGGCCGCAAGCATGACCTGGAGGGGCCCAACAAGAAGGCATCCAACAGGTGTGCAGGGGAGGGGCCGCAGGGCACAAGGGGAGGGTGGGCAGCTCCCAGGGACTCCACCAACAGATCCTGGGCAGCATGAGTATGTTTGGGGGTGAGGGTGCCCCTGCCTCTGGTCTGAGAGCTCCGGGGCACCCTCTGGGCCGGCCCAGAGGCTACTTGGCTTGATGGAAAAAGCCTGTCTTTAGTTCTGGTCCTGAATTCAAATCCTATAACCCCGTACAAGTGATTTACTCAGGCTCTCACTTGTAAAATGGGGCTGAAGATGGTAGCAGGCCTCTTCCGTGCAGATGCCTTGCCTGGTGCAGAGCAGGAACTCAGTGAACACTAGCTGTTTACTGAGGGCCAGGTAACAGGTAGGTCTTGGTACTAACAACACATCCTTGACCAAGTCCCACTTTTTACCCAATCTGGGCCTCAGTTTCCCCAGTGGTGAAACAGGAGAGGAGGAGTTGACTTAAATGCCTTTCTAGAGGTTCCTCCCAGTAACTAAATGACCCTGAGGAGTTGTCAGAGGCTATGCCCCTTCCTGACCCTGAGGCAGTCATGCCCTTGGGTGTGGTCTATCCAGGGATGCCTCTACCCAAGGTCTCTGGGGGCCTCTGCCATCAGGCAGCAGTTCGGGGTCCCAGAGAAACAGGGCAGCATCAGGAGGTTGAAACCAGCTTCCTCCTCTTCCTTCTCCCTCCCTCGGTTTCAGGGCCAACTGGCAGCATACAGAGAGAGCGAGCCTAACTAGGGGACCCAACAAAGCTAATTCAAGTTCCAAAAATGAATTTGGGGGACAACCACCCTGAAGAGATTTACTGCTTATGTGGAGAGTCTGCAGGAAAGGGGGAAACTAGCATTTACTAAGTACCTACTATGTGCCGGGCGTTATGTCAGGACTGATCAAATCTTCTTAACCGCCCTGTGATACTGAGGTTTCCATTTTTCAGATGCGGAAATGGTCTCAGAGAGGCTAAGTCACTTGTCCAAGGCAGGATTTTACTCCAAGACCAGCTCCTCCTTAGCAACTGCCTTACTTGGGCTACAAGCTCAAAGAAGGTGGTGAGGGCCAGAGGAAAGACCCCAGAGCTGGTGTCAGAAACTGGGCTTCGTGGAATGGCTCTGTAGCCAGCCTTGTATGGGTCAAGTAGTCTCTTCAACCTTCCTCCCTATGTGCCCTGCTGGTTCTCCACCTTTCTGCTCTCCAGAGGGAGGGAGAAAGGCAGAAGAGGAGGAAAAAGAGCTTAATGTTTCTCCGCACTCATTACTGTGAAAGTGTAAAACGTTCTCCATTTGTCAGAAAAGGAGCTCAAGGACTTGCGCTTATAAGCTTACCATTCTTACCAAACATGACCAGTTGAGATGAGCCTTGATTTGCAAAAATACTTTAAAAAGTGCTAGTATAATATCTTGGGCATGTATCATCAAAACAAAATATTGCCACCACCCAAACAAAACTCTGCTCTGTTCACTTTACAGTTCTGTAGCGAGAATCAAACATGCTGGTGGCTATGGAAATGCTTTGTTTACATGGTTGGTCTTAGACTCAATAATTTTATGTCTAGAAATATACCTCAAGACAAGATCAGGGTTATAGGCAAAGATTTACGCATAAGAATGCTTATCATTTTGCTATTTAAACTGTGGATAAATTTTCTGGTATTAAAAGGTCCACGAATAAAGGAATTATTATATGATAGGATATCATATAGCTATTCAAAATTATTTTTAAGACATACTTGAGAATATGGGGAAATACTCTTGATAAAGTATTAAACTAAAAAGTAGGACATCAAATTGAATGTACAATATAATCCAATTTCAGCTGTGAATAAAAAAAAGACTAGAAGGAAATACATAAAATGTTAACAATAATTAGCTTTTGGTAGTGGAATTACATGCAGATAATATTTATTTCCAATTTTTTTAACAGTAAAATGTGTTACTATTTATCAGGGCAAAATTTGTGTAATAAAAAAGCTTAAGGAACTAATTACAGAGATGCTGTATCAGGACTGTAGGTGACCTGCCTCTCTGCATCTTTGCAGGTCTTGGAACAACCTGTACTGTGTGCTCAGGAACAGCGAGCTGACCTTCTATAAAGATGCCAAGAACCTGGCCCTGGGGGTGCCCTACCACGGGGAAGAGCCCCTGGCCCTGAGACACGCCATCTGCGAGATTGCTGCCAACTACAAGAAGAAGAAACACGTCTTCAAGTTGAGGTGAGGGCCCCTCCTAACCACTGTCCCTTCCCTGGTGGCTCGATTTGGCAGTAAGTGAATGGACGTAGGCCCGCTGTATGTGACCAGCTCCAGGCCTGAGTTGCTCCTCAGGGATTTTTCAATCAAAGAGGCTGGTGGTCCTGACTTTTGCCTCTCTCAGAAGGTGCTGTGCTGCCTGACGGGGTTCTGGTCATGGGAAGGCTCAGGGGGCTGTGGGATCAGAGCCTACCCTCTGCCCAGGCAGAGGGCTCCAGAGGTGGCCACGTGGCAGGAAATCCTTTGTCCTCCTAGGCTGAGCAATGGCAGCGAGTGGCTCTTCCATGGCAAGGATGAGGTAAGTGCAGGGCCTCCTAGCCCAGACCCCCGCCCACAAAGGGGCAGGTGGAAGAGACCCAAGCCACCTGACCTCAAGGCTTCCTCAGAAGGGGTTGTCCTAGGGGCACCCCGTCCTTTGCAGGGCCCTAACCCTCCCACCCTGCAGGAGGAGATGCTGTCCTGGCTGCAGGGCGTGAGCACCGCCATCAATGAATCCCAGAGCATCCGTGTCAAGGCACAGAGCCTGCCCCTGCCCTCCAGCACCGGCCCCGACGCCAGCCTGGGCAAGAAAGAGAAGGAGAAGAGATTCAGCTTCTTCCCCAAAAAGAAGTAGCCTCTTGGCCGCCCCGCGGATGAAGCCGGCTCATCGGTACATGGGGGCCGAGCGCCCCCCTCAGCCACCCTGG